TTCCAAAAAGAAAAAAAGTTTCGAAAGAATTTATTTTCTTTTGGATCAATCTCGAGAGCTTTTAAAATATTTGACATTTTTATTATTGAAAAATTTCAAAAAAAAAAAAAATATAAATCATTTTTAATTTTTATCTTGATCAAATTTATTTCAAATATAAATCTATAAATTTCCCAAATTCTACATTAATGAAAAAATTTTCCAATAATGATGGAAAATTCCTATAAACATCATTTATTGTCAAAAAAATCGTAATTTTTTAAATCCCTTACATTATTTCTTTAATAAATTTTATCCATAACAAATTATAGTTTTTTACCATTTTTTTCACATTTTTATCAATAAATCAAAATTTTTAAAATTATATATATATATATATATATATATATTCTACTGTGAGAGAGAAAGATATTGACGAAAAATAAAAGTGGCAAAAGATGAAAGCTATTTGCATTAATAAAAAGTTTTTGCATTCATTACAAGCAGATATAATAGAGAAGAAAAAAAAATAGGTGTGAATTTATTTATTCTTGGTGCGTAGAAAAAATATCGTTATAAAAGAATTTTTTTATTTTATTTTTTTTTTTTTTTGCTTAATTAAAAATTAAACAATGCAAATTCAATTAACGTATGAACTTGGTAATAAAAAAAAACAAAAAATAAAAAAAAAATGGAGAAATGAAAATATAAAAGCGAGACTTTTAAAACTGGCTTCGTTAATTATTCCTCGTCTCTAAAAGCTCCGTCAACTTTTTTCGTCTTTTGATTGAGAAAAACATCTGTATATTTTCAACTTTAAAGCAGTCTAACTTTTTCAACGTTTATTTAATCAAAAAAAAAAAAAAGTTTTCGTTTGTCAATAATAATATTTTAAGATATACAAAAGTTATTTTCCAAATTATTTATTTAAAAAATGAAACTTTTTATTTAAAAATAAATATAAAAAATATAATTGTTTATATCTATTTGAAATATCTTATATTAGACGAAAAATTAATTAAATTGATTTTTTTTTTGATTTTTTTTGCACAAAGTTTTAGAATTTTTAAATAAGTATAAATATTTGTTACTTTTTTGGTTGTTATTTTATATTTAAGTGTATTTCAGAAGATATCAATTTTATATAGTTATATGATATTTAAAAATATATTTTATAGCAATTTTTTTTTTTAATCCAGAAAGATGAGAGGGTTTTCGGAATGGAAAATCAGTCGCTAAAAACAAATCACCAATGCATTTTGGCATCAATTTCAGTATAGCATGAATTCCACAACCATCCATAAAATTCATATACTATAGTTTTACAATAATGCTTTGCTTCAATATAAAAGTCGATTTTTTTGTTTGTTTTTTTTAAATGTACACAAGGTAAAGCTTTTTTTTTTTATCAGTATATGAGAACATAAATCATACTATATTTTCATTTTTTTTCATCCGTAATTTTATTTTCAAAAATCAACGATGAAAACCAATTTATTTTTAGTTCAAATTACATACTACTTTTTACATTTAATAATTTATCATAAACGACTCATTCTCATTTACATTATTTTCAAGCGCGTTCATATAAACGAAATTCATTTCTTTTTTTATTTTTAATTTCCTTTTGTAAAAGAAGAAAATTTATCATCTATTTTCAAAATATTTATTTTATTTTTTAATTATATTTTTAATTACTTTTTTAAAGTCATAATAATTTTTTTTTTAAATAATGTTTGAATAAAAAAAACGTGAAATGTAAATTTTTTTAAAAATTTTTTACACATTTTTCAAACATTCAAAATATACGAAAATTAAACTTTAAACAAATCAAGTTTAAATTAGAATTTCACGTAAAGTGTTAGAAACTTGGAAATGTTTCAAATAAATTTGATCCCTTAGCTCACATTTATTTTTCCCCACGCCATAAAATTCAAATATAATTTTCTCTTAAGTTTTTTTTTCCATTTTTCTTGTCACACAGTTTAGCAATTCATTTAGGTTGACGAACTTTTCGAAATATAAATTTTATATTGAAAAAAGAAGAAAATGATAATTTAAAAAAATCAAAATTTATGAAAATTAAAATTTTTATCTTATCTAAAATTGAAATTTCAATATTTGTGAATAAATTTTTTTCAAAAAAGTCTTTAAAAAATTGAAATGAAATGGAAAAACAAACTGTGTGAAAATTCCAGAAATGGTTTCCATACGTTGGCAACAATGAGTGAACTATCCGACGCCAATACAATAGCCAATCGACTGCACGCAATAAATCACTAAATAAAGGAAATAGCTGTCGTGGAAGAATGATCGGTATTCAACGATACTACACACACGCTTATTAGCAAACGAATTTTAAAACACATGCGAAAAAAAAAGAAAGTAAAAATTTTATTGTCTCTTTTTAAAAATTATTAATAATTTTACTATATTTATATTATTAATTAAATTATACAATAGTAATTTTATAATTTTTTTTTAAACAAATAATAATTATTTTCATAAAAAAATAAATAAATTTTACTATTTATATTATTAATTACAATATTTAATAATGCAAACAAATAATTATTTACAAAAAACTAAAAATAATAAAAAAAATTATTTACATTATCTAAACAAGAAATAATTGTCTAAATATCCACTTGGAAAGATTCCTCGGAAAGTGCCTCCTAGAGGTTCTATCAGAATTCCGCCGGAACTTCCAAAAAATTTCCGATGGAAATACGACGGAATTCTGACGGAATTACAATTAATTTTTTTCAAAGTTTTTAGAGTCCTAATTCCGTTCTAATTTTTTTTAAACAAATAATAATAATTATTTTCATAAAAAAATAAATAAATTTTACTATTTATATTATTAATTACAATATTTAATAATGGAAACAAATAATTATTTACAAAAAACTAAAAATAATAATAAAAATAATTATTTACATTATCTAAACAAAAAATAATTGTCTAAATACCCACTTGGAAAGATTCCCCGGAAAGTGGTCCCTGGAGGTTCTATTAGAATTCCGCCGGAACTTCCAACGAAATTCCGTCGGAATTCCAAAGAATTTCCGATGGGATTCCGACGGAATTCTGACGGAATTCCGATGGAATTAGGACTCTAAAAATTTTGAAAAAAAAATTAATCGGAATTCCGTCAGAATTCCGTCGGAATCCCATCGGAAATTCTTTGGAACTCCGACGGAATTAATTTTTTCAAAATTTGTAGAGTCCTAACTCCGTCGGAATTCCGTCAGAATTCCGTCGGATTTCCATCGGAAATTCTTTGGAATTCCGACGGAATTACGTTGGAAGTTCCGGCGGAATTCTGATAGAACCTCCAGGGGGCACTTTCCGGGGAATCTTTCCAAGTGGGATACCCAATTTTTTATCTGCGTAAGAGAAATTTTTCAATTTCCCTCTAATTACGTTAATAAATTTTCATTTTTTTTTTCTTTTCTTTTTTTTTTAATTTTGAAAAATTGGAAATTTTTTATTGTATTTTAAATAATAAAAATTATTTTCTAAAGAAACCAATTTTTACGACAATATTGTACCTTGAGGAATAAAAAAAAAAAAGCGCGCATAAATGTCAACATCATTTATACTTTGTTCCAATAAAGCGTTTCTATTCTTCTGCGCCTTGTCTGACTAAAGTGTGGACCTTTACTACTGAGAATAAGCTAAAACCATATAATCCACCGTGTATTTGTCCAATAGACAATTGAATTCTTCTTTTTTTTCCTTCTTTTTTCCACTTCCCTTTTTTCTATTTTAAAAATTAAACAAAGACTCGAGAAAACACATTTTTTTCCGTATTCCACGTATACTATTGTATTATTTAATTCTCATAAATAATTTTTGTGTTTTCATTGTGCTCGAGGAATTTTGACCGAAAAAAGTTTAAAATTGTTAAAAAATGTATTTTTTTTTTATTAATTTTTGTTGTTTTAATTAATTGATAAATTAATAAAATGTTTTTCTTTTCAGATTCTGTGGATATTGCAGTATGTAAGTAATTGAAACATATTATTATTTATTTATATACTTGAAATTGATTTTTTAATTGTTTTTTAATTCTCTATTTTAATTGCAAAAATTAATTTACAAATTCTTCCGATTATTTTTCGTTATTTACAGTATTCTCTCGATAAAGAAAACCGTTTTTTTACAAAAAAAAAATACCATTTATCGAGGGTTTACTGTAACTTGTTTAGCAATCAAAAATTGATCAATTATCGAGGGTTTACTGTACCTTTAAACTGTCAACCAAACTACTAACCGATTACTGTACAAAAAGTGGAAATCACTTAACAGGGGTTCACTGTAACTCTAAACAGATTAACTAAATTTTCATTAATCGAGAGTTGGTTAACAGCAAACAAACTGACCACTTATCGAGGATTTACTGTATCTCGAAAGTACTGTTAGTCAGAAAACTGACGATTAATCGAGGGTTAACTGTAATTTTTTCCTAATTATCATTAAAAAAAGGAAATTATTTCTTATCGAGGGTTTACTGTAACTCTAAGTGTAAAACCTGGTATAGTGACCACTAACCGAGGGTTTACTGTAACTCAAAAAAAAAAAAATATTAACCAAGTTTTCACTAACCGAGGGTTTAATGTAACTCTTAGTCGATTATCAACAGAAAAAAATGACCTTTTATCGAGGGTTTACTGTAACTCAAAAAAAAATTATTATCAAGTTTTCACTAACCGAGGGTTTAATGTAACTCTTACTCGATTATCAACAGAAAAAAATGACCTTTTATCGAGGGTTTACTGTAACTCAAAAAAAAATTATTATCAAGTTTTCACTAACCGAGGGTTTAATGTAACTCTTACTCGATTATCAACAGAAAAAAATGACCTTTTATCGAGGGTTTGCTGTATCTCAAAACTAAGATGACCACTAACCGAGGGTTTACTGTAACTTAGACAAAATCCCCTCAAATAAAATAGCATCATGCGAACTATATATAGTTAAAATAGAAAGAAAAAAAAATTTTTTTTCGAACTTACGGATGAGAAACTCGTCGATGAAGACACCTCATTGACATTGCACGTCCTCGTGTACGATTAGAGGTCCAGGTGGCGCTCGAACTGGCTGGAGGGGTGGTTTGCCGCGTGGTGGGGGGAGCGTTATACTGCTCCCCCCCCTGGGCCACCCCCGCGGCGCCGAATGTAGCGCCCGAAGTAGCCAGCCCTGTTGATCGTGGCAATGGGCCTAAAATTTCAATAAATCGACGTGCTAGTCTGCGGGCGAGCCGACGGGCCAGGCGCGCCCCAGCCGCACCGGCACCCACGCTGACGACAACTTTACCCACCCCCCACTATTAGGGGGTGGTTTACCTATTTTATTAACTGTCCCAATATTCACTGAATTTTTTTTTTTTTTTTTTGATAATTGAATTTTTTTTCTTAATTCAATAACACGCTCTTTTTTTCTTTCACTTATCACTTGTTCTTCTTCTTCTTCTTCTTCTTTTTCTTCCGTGATAAAAAAAAATCACTTTTAAACTATTCCCCGTTGCTTTTGCTTCAGTCGATTTTAACGTTGACTGGAAGACATTTTCTGGCTGAAAAGGAAAATTGATTTTATTAGCAATTTAGCATCGAATTATTTTTTTAAAAAAATTGTATCACTTGTTTTGTAGTCTAGTGGTTAGGGTACTTGACTTGCTGTGCGAAAGTTGAGGGTTCGAATCTCATCAGAGTTTAGGATTTGAAAATTAATTATATTGTATACCATAAAATAAATAATTAATAAAAATAATAGAGTATTAATTAACTAATAATAATAATTAATAATAAAATATTTGATAACTTTTGGAATATATGAAAAAAATTTCCATTAAAAAAATAAATTCACTTCTTCATATAAATGAAAAAAAATTTTTACTTTCTAGTAAAAAATCCCTAAGCAGTTTTAAAGTATAAAAAAAAACTTGAATGTCTCTCATAAATATGAAAAATTTCTAAGAGGTCGTTAGTAAAAATTGAATTATTATTATTCATAAATTTTTCTTTACATTATTTTATTAGATATTTTATATAAAATAGTAAAAAAAAATAATGCAGATTGATGTAACGTATACTGCAGAATAACGTGCTACATTAGTCTATTGATTTCGGAATTATATATTCCAATGCAGTATTTATATATATATATATATATATATATATATATATATATATATATATATATATATATATATATATATATATATATATATAAAATCCGCGTGAGTATATAAATAAATCAATAGTTTAAAAAAAAATCATAGATCAAAATAAAAAAAAAATATTTATATATGACATTTCCGCAATATATTTCACTTCAATTTTATACATTGTAAAGTCCTTTCAATATTTACATACGTAAATGTGTTACGAAAAATTATTTCCTTTGATTTCAAATTTATTTGCTTAAAACAAATTTTTTTTTGTTTTAAATCTCATATTGAAAATTTTATATACTAATAAAGAAAATAAAATTTTATATATATATATAATTTTGAAAAAGTTATAATAATATACACAGAGAAAATAAATTTATTTTTTGTTGCAGAGTTAAATAAATATTTATATTTATTACAAATAAATTTTTTTTTCAAATAAATTTTATTTTTTTCAAATAAATTTTGTTTTTTCAATTACAGTGGAACCTCGACTATCCGAACTAATCTAGGCAAGGCCGGGTTCGGATAATCGAAAATTCGGATAATAGAGATTTTAATTTTTTTTTTATAATTAAAGTAAAAAACTGTACAGTTGAACTATATATTTAACTTAATACATATGTTTTTAAATATACATAAGTATATACATATACCCAGATAACCAAGCGTACTAATCGTTATTTACGAGTACGGCGTACTAGTATTATACTAGTTTTATACAAGTACAAAATAATGATATATGTCGTACCAGTACGGTACTAGTACAATAAAAGTATGTCGTACTGTTAGAATTGTAAAATATGATTACTCGATAAAAGTATAGTACTAGTACAATACCAGTACGTCGTACTTCTGAAATAAGAAGCACAACATACTTGTACGATACAAGTATAATACTGGTACGTCGTACTGGGAGTCTTTGCTGGTAATGCCAACCCAACCTCACTTTCTTGACAATTGTCAAATATGAACGCGTCACTGAAAACGGTGCAATAAATGTTGGTGAAAAAAGTGGTTTATGATGCAGCAAAAGAGTATTAACGTTTGTAACTTGTGCTTCTGTACTTATCTTGAATATCCGAGATTAAATTTATATTAAATCATCGATCTTTATAAGATTTATATTCTTTTACTTTGACATGGTGCCGTGGTGTTATTTCATTGAAAAACATGAAAATCTTTTACATTTATAATGAGAAAAATTCATAAATTCGGTCTTGATCATATTGATATATTTTTAAATTCAATTGTGTGTTATTTCGTTATAGTTTTTCTTATACATATAACATATTTATAGGTTAGGATGTGATAATATGTTTTTCAAAGCAATTTATAACATCAAGTTTAAAATTCTTTTGAAATAATGTTTAAATGTAAAGAAATAATCAACTAATATTTGATAAAGTTAAGTAATTAAAATAATATAAAACACCAGATATTTTAAGATAAGTGAGAATACAAGTTACATATATGATGTAAATAAAAAAAATGATTCAATAAAAATGAATTATTATTATTTCAGTTCTCCCACAGATTTTCTTTTGAATAATAAATGAAAATAATGAAAATACTATTGTGGGAAGAGAAAGGGGAGGGTATATAATATTTTATATTGTACATCATACTAGTATTGTACCAGTACAATAACAGTACGTTATACTAAGTCACAAAAGTTTTCAGTACGTCGTACTCGTATAGTACTCGTATTCTACCGATATTGCATACCGGTACGCCGTACTAGTACAGTACCTGGTACCGTGCGAAGGTACATGGCTGGTACAGTACTAGTACGTCTAGTACGTCGTACTAGTATTATACTACTACCGTACTAGTACGTGTGTTATCTGGGTATGTAATTATATATTAATTAATAATATATTAAAAACTCAGAAAATTCGGAAATTTTTAAGATTTTTTTGGCATAAATTTGGTTATTTTGCTTTGAATGATAAAATAAATAGAGAAAATAAAATTTAAAATTCGAGAGACCAAAAAATAGTTCGGATAATAGAGGTTCGGATAATCAAGGTTCCACTGTAAATTTTTTTTTATACGCCAAATTCAATTTTATTTCTGTAAAAACAAATTTTTTTTCTATATATTTGAAACAAATAAATAATTATTTTTAACTAAAATAATAAATATAAAAAATAGTAGATAAAAATTTATTTTTATTTCTAATTCAAATATATACATATATATATATATATATATATATATATATATATATTTGATCCGAATAAAAAATTTCTTTAGGTGTATATATATATATATATATATATATATATATATATTGGTAATAAAATTTATCTCTTATCAAAAAATAATTTTGTCTTTATATCCAGCTCTATTTTTATTAGTTGAATAATTTTTATAGCATTCAAGAATTTATATAGTATACAATAGTTCTCTCCCCTCTGAACTTTATAAATATCTAGTGGAAAGTCTAAATTTATATCTGATTCCTATAAAGATCTAAAATGATAAAAAATAATTAAAAAAAATTTTTTTTTACCTTCTAAAATTGATTTTCTTTTTTTTTCAACACGACTTATTATTTTTTAAGGAAAAACAAAAAATTGTCTTAATTTAAAAAAAAGTTATAATAAAAAATTAATTTAATAATTATAATTTATTTATTAATATTATTAATTATTATATTATTTATTAATATTATTAATTATTATATTATTTATTAATATTTAATTAATTTATTAATTATAATAAATTAAATCGTAAATATTTCTTTGAGTAAAAAAAAAATTCTTTTTTAAATAAAGCTTTTGTATGAAAAATAGATTTTCAAAAGTGCAAGTATATAATAATTAATACAAAAAAAAATTCATGATTTTACAACCAAATAAAATTCTCAGTCACAATAAATGATTATATCTGATTTATAATATTTGTAATTATAATCAAATTAAATAATAAAAAAGAAAAGGAGAAAAAAAGACAAATGCGGACATAAATGAGAAACCGTTTATGAGAAAATAGAAACAAGAGAGTGAGAGAGAAAGAGAGTCTGCGCGAAACGGAAACTGTTTTGTTTTAGTTATTATACCACAAGAGAAATGTTGTTTGCCGCACAGAGTGGCAACAGCGGAAACGCAGTCGAACTTTCATAATTACATAACGGATTTTGAAATTGGGTCGGAAAATGCTTTGCGAATGTCTCGTCGTTTCGTTTCCACCGAAACGAACAAAGTGGCGCGCAAGTAATCTGTGACTTAAATAGCAAAGCAATATCCGGCGACGATCAGCACAGCTTCATATACAGACAGAAAGAGAGAGAGAGAGAGAGAGAAAAGATAATCTACTGTTTGACCAATGTGTACCTAATTATAGTTTTGGAAAATCGATTCAAAAATAGGGAATTAATTTTGGCAAAAATTAAGATATTTTAAATATTTTATTTCTTCTCAATAAAAAAAAAATAATTTACTTTATTATTTTGAAAAATAATTTTTATAAATTAAAAAAATTAAAATTATTCGATTCAAATATTTATTTAAATAATATTTTATTATTATTAATATTTTATTCAATATAGTCGATTATATTGGAATGAAATAAAATTTTTTTTTTCTTTTTTTTTATTTTGCATAGAGTATCTAAAAGAGGAAGAGACTCCATATAAGGCCTGGAGGGAGGGTAATCGTTTTGCGATCGATTTATATATAAGTCTTTGGAGGTTGGATGCGTGCCACTGATGGTCCATTTACATCTAAAATTATGCGCTTTTTTTTTCTTCCTCACACGTTCCGCAGTGTATTTTCCAAACAAAACTATCTCAAACAATAACATGTGCACGTGCCGCTTCACTGTCCAAAGAAAATCATTTAGAATATATGAAAAAATAAAACAAAATTTCCAAATATTCCAAGATTCATGATTTATTTATTTATATTGTTTTGTCTAAATTTCTGGAAATTTTCCAATATTTATCCATCAGGTTTGTCAATATTTTAGTAATCAATCAAATTTGGTAAAAAAAAATTGATTTGAAAAAAAATATTTTATCTGCTTGTTTAAGTAATAATAATAAATAATTCCACTTCTCAGTAATTTAGTAATCAATAAATTCAGGTAAAAAAAAAATTTTTTTTTTTTTAAATACTTTTGAAAAAAATATTTTAGCTTTAAAAAATAATTTCAACTTTTTTTTTTGAACCTTTTCGTATAGGACAACAAAAAAAATATATATAAAGAAAATATCAGTTATCGGAGAAATATCTTCAAAAGATATTTTAAATCGTTCCCCCCCCCCCTTTCCCCCTTATATCCACTTGTCAGATAAATCATTATATTTCAAAAAGATGAATGATTCGAGGATTTTACCTCGACATCAAATGATATATTTATGTAAAAACGAATTTTAATATTTATATCACATTATTTACACAAGTTATTTGAAGGATTTTGATAAGTTTTAAATTTTATTTATACGCATGAAAGTTTATTTTTCTCTATGAAAAATTGGAAAATAAATTAATTTATCGACAATATATTTTCGCGTAAGGAAGAAGAAAAAGAAAAATTAAAATCTAATTTTTTAAAGAAAAAAAAAAAATGAAAAAACAATAATAAAGTCAACACCAAAGGTAGACAGTAAATTTTTATGAATTTTTTTTTTTTTTTTTTTTTCTTTGCAGAAAAATAACATAAAATACTACATTTACTTTTTATTACTGCAAGACTCCCGTTGAGTTTTATGATCTTCAACCTCTTCTGACATAAATTAAATTAAAACCTCAACACCAACTTTTTTTTTTATCGTGCGTGTTTTTTTTTTATGTCTGAATTATATTGTAACCGGTATATAAAAAAAATTGAAGCTTCTAAAAAAAATTAACCAAATCCGTGGTAAATAAGCCAAAATTTGATAAATGAGAGAGAAAAATATTTAGGGGAAGTAATTACATTAAATGCAATCTTTATAAATGGTCTTTATAAATCATGTATTTAAGAAGAGACATGCATTTTTCTTGATGAAAATTCCCTATATAAAATAGTATTTACCATTTTTTTTTTCTCGAAGGGTGCGTGAAAATATAATAATTTTATCTAAAGTGTGATACAATTTCTTTTATAGAAAATTGCTTTTTCAAATTCTGATAAAAAAAAAAAAAAAAAAAAATACCAAAAAAATGTTTATTTATTAATAAAAATTAAAAAAAAAATGTTTTTAGAAAATAATTTCTAAAAAAAATGAAATTTAATTTAATTTAGTTTATTTAAAAAAAAAAAAAATTATACTCACCTGAAAGCCAGTTGCAACACAATCTAGAGTGGGATCCAGGGCCGAAAATTCGTTGTAAAGATTCTGAAGATCACCTCTTTCGTATACATAAAAATTTCCACTTCTCAATTTCCCCTCCCCCCCCAAAAAAACAACGATTTTTTAATTTCCCACTTTCGACAAAAAGAATTCACTTTGAAAAAAAAATTTTTTAACCACACGAATGTTCGATTTGTTCTTTGTAATTATTTATTTATTTATTTTTTTTTTTATAATAAATAATACCGTTTAATCGTTAGTATCACAATGAATGATCGTTATTATATCTTAAACTGTATAAGAGTGTTACCGTTATAATGATCACAGTCGCGAGAATTGATCAAAACCTCTTAATTGAAATATTTTCTCAGAAAATGATTTTTTTTTTTTTTTTATTTTAATTGCTCGGAAAAAATTTGCAAATTTTTTCGCTGTGGAGAGAAGGAAAAATATAATTCGGACAACGAGAGTGTTTATTATCGACCTCTCAGAATATTAACAAGCAAAGATTTTTCTCGATGAAAAATAAGCTTGTGAAAAATGCACTTTGTAAAGCTCTCTTTCTCATTTTTTTTTCTCTCTCTCTCTCTCTCGCTTCCTCATTGATTTCATCAGGTCGAACACCAAATCGCGTTATCTCAGCATCCTTGAAATCCATGATCGAGAATGTCCCAACGAATCCACATCCTTTAGATTACTCCTGATCTCCCTATATTTCATGATTTCACACTTCAAGTTTTCTTCTTTCTGAAAATTTGACGTTCTCACGATATTCAAATAATTTGAAATTCCACACTTATCCTTCAACTTTTTTTTATTATTAACGATCAGAAATAATTTTTTTAAATAATTTTTTTTTATTAAAAAATTTTTATTCCATTTTATTTCAATATTATTATTTTTAATCGTCTCACTTGTGATATTTTTGATCAATGAATTATTAATGTTCGCGATATTATTTTTATTCCAAGTATTATTGACGTTTGATAAATTATTTATAATCGTAAAATTATTTTTGTCACGCGAATTAATTTTATCTTTATCACTAATCAAATTATGTCTCTTTATTGAATAATAATAATTTGCAATTTTATTTAATGTTAAATAATAATAATAATAATAATAATTTTGAATTAAATTAATCAATAATGATGAATTAGTGTTTTTTAATAGTGATTGTTTTAAAATAGGAAAATTTTTATTTTTAAAATTATTAACATTAATAATTAGATGAATATGAAGAAGAGTCAATGTATTTTTGAAAATTTGATATTTCAAAATAATTTGTTCTTCATTTAAATAATGCTTGATAATCAGCATCCTTTGGTCCAGCAAAGTACCAAAGTTAATTCAAAGCACTGTTTTCTTTGGTTTATTGTAATAATAATTTGATTCTAAAACGAAGGCTCTGATTTTGACAATGGCGTTCATCTCGAGCATGTTCTTCAGTCAACATCACGTGGTGCATTACAGCATCATTTCTCTCTCATTTCCAAAGATGTATCAAGCAATTTCCCAGGAAATCAAATTGTAAATTCCAATAATCTCCCGTTTGGTATTAAATATCCAATTGTAACTTTGTCTAATCTCATGAAATTTATCCAATGATTTTAATTTTGATGATTAATTTTTGAAAATTAGGATTTTTCTCTTAGAAGTTTCTGTGCAGATTTAGAATTTCTTTTCTGATTTTTAAATTCTTTTTTGTTGCAACATTTTTCGTTGGTTTAATAATGTTCTTTTAAAGAATTAATGAATTTTCCTTTGGGATTTTCTTTGGCGTTTCACAATTTTCAGTTTCGAATAGATTCTTCTGATTTGTAAACTTTGATTTTGAAAATATTTTCCCTTATTTTAATCCATTTTAAAAATTTTCCTTTAATTTTTACGAATTTTCTTTTTAGTTTTTATTAATTTTTTTTGGAATTGAATTTTGATTTTGAATTTCTCTGCTTTTGGAATAATTTTTGATATTACAATTGGTTTTTTTACTTTTGTGTTAAAAATTTTCTTTTGGTTTCCATGAATTTTCCGTTTAGTTTAAAAATTTTCTTTCGTTTTTCAATGTTTCCTTTGGTTTTCAATAAAAAGATACTTTGTTTATAAAACGTTTTTGTAATTTTTCCTTTTTTTAAATGCTTTTCGTTTTCAATTTTTCCATTGGTTTGTAAACTTTTAGTATTTTTTTATAATTCCTCTAATTTTACAAAAAATTTTCACTTCTTTTTATGTTTCTTTATTTCGCAAATTTTTCTTTTTTCTCACTGAATTTTTTTATATTCTGCAAATTTTGTCTGATTTTTCAAACAAAAAAAAAATATCCTTTTATTAAATGATTTTGAAATTTTGTTTTTTTTAATTTTGTAGTTTAACTCTTTAAATTTTAAAAATATATATTGATTTTCCAATTTTTTTTTCTTCAGTGAAAATTTCTCTTTATATGAAAATTTTCTCTCAGTGCGGACAATTTTCTCCTCCAATTATACAATTTTCTCTCTCTCTTTCTCTTTCTCTCTAATTCACTTCTCATTCAATTGTTGATCATTCCCCTAATTTGGCCAATTTCTGTTACTCAAAAAAAAAAAAGAGAAAAAAAATTTCACAATCGCGAATTTTTTTTTTTTTTTTTGAAAAAAAAAAATTGTTCACACGCACTCGCGAACACAGAATAGATACTTGCCGCGATCTAGAAAAATGAAAAACTCGTGCTCCTTGCCGAATGGCACACGGAATCGTAAAGTAGTTCCGGTAAATTGACACGGGGTAAAATTTTTCGTTTCCTTGGGTCTCCAGGGTATAGTTACAATAGAGGAAGATCTCATGAGACTTATTTTTTTCAGAAGCAAAAAATATATCTCTTTTTTTTTTACTATTCGAGAGGAATTTTGGTTCCTAAATAATTTTTTGGATCTATCGAAACAAATTTTTCATTGATAATGCAAAAATTACAGAATCGATTTCTTTTTATTTGTTCTTTTGTTTCATCGATTTTGGAAAGCATGTCACACGAGTATGGCTAATAGTTTTTTTTTTTATAGTCTTTAACAAAGAATGTTTTGAGGGGAAAAAAATTTTGAGTGTGTTTGTTTTTTTTTTTTAATTTTTTTTGGGGGGTCTTGTTTTTGGATTTTTTTTTTTATGGAAGAGGAATTTTTTTTTTTTTTTTGGAAGTGTTGTTGGGTGTGTATATCGTTTTTGAATCACAATTCTCGATGTTGGGCGGCTGGCAGCCGGCCTCACACTGGCCTCCTCCGCCGAGACAGCAGTAGACTATACACACGACTATACGCCCTGTGTGCCTGATCCTCCCAAATCAACCCCCTCATTCCTCGACCCTGAAGAGATCGACTTTGGCGCCGTCCAACGCCACTCCCCGTAACTAGGGGCTTTTGTTTTTTCAACAACCCCCCGGACTATCAAAGAAGAATGAAAAAAGAGGGCTCTCCTCTCTTTCTCCAATATATATATATATATATATAGTGCAGGAGAGAAAGAGATTTCGACCCCAAAAAGACCAACCCCTTTCACGTTTCGTCACAAGATTTTCTTTTCTTTTTTAAAGTCGACTATTATATTAATATAAAATTAGCAATATCGCCAAAAAAAGATCGATGACAGGAGTTGAAAAAGGGTGTCGAGAACGATTGATCATTTCGCTAAAAACACATTAGAAAGACATTATATATACCTTTTCGTATGCAGACGTGCTGAGGAAAAAAAGGGACCAGCAGAATTTTTTTTTTTTTGCTATATATCCTCTTTTCATTAACGCCGCGGCAATGATACTCATTTCTTTTGAAAGATAAAAAAAGGCCTCTGAATGTGAATTAAAAAAACTTAATGAGATTGAAATCAGTTGATGATTGCTTATGCTGAGGGAGATTATTTACCCCTTCTATAATGTTGAGAGGAAAAAAAGGAACTGTAAGAGGGAAATAAAAAAAATGAATCTATTACTAAGTAATGTAAATTATTCACTTCACATATTAAGAGAAATGCCATTAATTATTGGACTAATTACTATACTTTTATTGTAATAATTGCCATATTAGTATTGGAATGTTTGCCATACTAGTATTGTAGTAATTACCATACTTGTATTGCAGTAATTGCCATACTAGTATTGCAGGAATTACCATACTTGTATTGCAGTAATTACCATACTAGTATTGCAGTAATTTCCCTACTAATATTGCAGTAATTACCATACTAGTATTGCAGAAATTACCATACTTGTATTACCGTAATTACCATACTTGTATTACCGTAATTACCATACTTGTATTGCAGTAATTGCCATACTAGTATTGCAGTAATTTTCCTACTAATATTGCAGTAATTACCATACTAGTATTGCAGAAATTACCATACTAGTATTGCAGTAATTACAATACTTGTATTGCAGTAATTGCCATACTAGTATTGCAGTAATTTCCCTACTAATATTGCAGTAATTACCATACTTGTATTGCAGTAATTGCCTTACTAGTATTGCAGGAATTACCATACTTGTATTGCAGTAATTACCATATTTGTATTGAAGTAATTACCATACTAGTATTGCAGTAATTACCATACTAGTATTGCAGAAATTACCATACTAGTATTGCAGTAATTACAATACTTGTATTACCGTAATTGCCATACTAGTATTGCAGTAATTGCCCTACTAATATTGTAATAATTGCCATACTAGTATTGCAGTAATTGCAATACTTGCATTACAGTAATTACCATTCTAGTATTGCTGTAATTACCACACCAATAACTACTTCCACTAAATGCAATTATTAAAAAATATTTTGTTTCTGTTTTTTTTTTAAATTCACTTCAATTTTATTTATAAATTAAATTTGAAAAATTCTTGTATTTTCTTTAGTAATTGTTAATTTAAAAAAAATTATTATTTAAAATAAAATAATAATAATAGAATAAAATAATGAACAAAATAATAATATATTATCGTTAAAGCTATATTTGTTTGCTTCAAAAACATGATTTCGAATTTATAAGGAAAAATAATTAACCAGGAATCGAGATAAACCAGTTGGGATTAATTATAACATGACAAAACATGTGAACAATATTAAACCCCACATTTTACGAAGGATGGTAAATTTGTTTTTTTTAAAAAAAAAACAATAACAAAAAAGGGGGTAAAAAATTAATGTGAATTTAAATTAATTAAATTTATTATTTCTTTTATTATTTATAAATCAATTATTAATTAATTATGTTTATTTATTATTTATTGGAAAAGTATTTTATTTGTCAGTTACTTTGTTTTAGTACATTCCCACTTCAAAGCATTCTCGGTAATTAATTATTTAATACTCTTCATTAGCTTTATAAATCATGTGGTACAAATTGTTTACAAACTAATATAAACTTTGATCTTTTTTTTTTTTTTGCTTTTTATTAAGCCACCAAACTTTGTCCATAAAACTCGATATTTAAATTTTTTATTATTAATAACTTTTAAAATTGTATTTTTAATTACATAAATTTCACCCATTAACATTCAATTTAACATTAATTTTTCTAATTAATAAAACAAAAAGATAATAAAATTATTTAACTCGCTCTCGGGAGATTGTCATTTACTGAATTTAAACTCATTTTTCTCACGCGAAAAGAAAACATGTCAGATTAAGAGAGGGTTTTTTTTTTTTTTAATTCTTGATTAAAAGAAACTGATCTTCGGGAGATGATATCAATTCTCGTCAGACGATGTAAACAGCTCAGAAGAAAATTAAGAATTTCATTAGTAGCCAAGTTTCCTTCAACTTTTAAGAAAACTACTTTGAAAAGTATATCGCGAGTAAAATTAAATTTTCAATTTTAGAGAAATCTATTTTTGTATAATTATTATAGATAAATCCTATAAAATCGTTAATTTTTATTTGTCAAAGAAAATTGTCGTAAATATTAATTTAATAAGAAAAATTTTTTTTCTCTTTCACGCGTTCACCTGAAACAAAAATTTTAAGGGTCTGAAAAATCTTGGAAAAAATTTAAGAGGTAATTGTTCACGAAGGACATCTCTTCTTGCTTTCATGGCCTCATCCTTTTATTTTATGCGCGAGGCTTCAAATAAAAAGACGAGTATAGAGAAAAGACAAAAAAGAAAAAAAAAGGGGCCAGAAAAAGAATGTAAGTACTTCTCATAAACTGAATAGGGTTGAAAATTGCTCTCCAACGTATTGTACAAGAAAGAATATGCAGTGTTTTTCTTTCACATATTTCACTATATCAAGTGATATAAATATCTCTTTCTCCGCCCAGTGAATTTTTTTTCTTATAAATTTCTCTGATCAATTCAATTCAATATGAAATAATTCTTTTCATCGAGATTATTTCGAATCTCCATAATCGCAGAAAATAAGAGATGAAATTTAATAAATTACTAAGTAAATTATTTATACAGCGTTGCTGGTAAATTAAAATTATTTAAATTCAAATAATTGAATAATTAGTTATATTCTAATTAATTTTAATTAAAATACTTTCCGATTAATTAATTGAAAATTATACTTAAAGAATTATATTAATTCTTAATTATAAATTAACAATGATATTTGAAATAATTAATTTGTTTATTTAAAAAGAATATTTTTAAATGTGGAAATTTGCTGAAGGTTCAATAAATTTACAGTCGATTTCGATGTAAAATATTGTAACTGGATTTACTTTTAATAATTATTACAAGAAAAACTGTTTACTTACAAATAAACTAGGCTTAATAATTATCCATTAATCATACCACTGGCACATCTCATGTTCACGCCATTTTGTTTAAAATTGCCACATGCAATGATTGTAATTGCGTTGTCCACTTATCCAAAGCATTGTACCGTGCAGCACAAATTGACTTCTTGTCGAGTTCCAGCACTTGATTAACCTGTTTTTTTTAAAAGAAAATAAATATGAAAACTCAATAAAATTAATTAGAAATTGACAGAAAGAAATGTCAAGAAAAAACAATTTTTTAATTATCTAACTAAATTATTATTTTACTATCATTAAAAATTAAAAACAATCATTTATTATTAAAATTGTTTCTACTTTCACCGAAGTTTTTTTTCGATTAATATTGTTGAAAAATTAATGTAAAGAAATGTTTTCTCACCTGATCAATACGCCCACGAATTGTATTATCCAGAATACAGGAAACTAATAGACTTTCAACTTCAGATGCATCAATGTTTAATTCTTTGCTTATGAAGGGGATGTGAATCCTTGTGTAAGGTTTAATTAACTTAATGAGAACCTGAAAAAAAAGATATTAGTTCCAGTTAGCAGATTTTAATTTGTTAATTTATTTTTTTTAAATACTAATGGTTTTAATAATTTTTTTCGAATTTGATATCCAAGTATATACCTGAGTTCTAATATTTCGTAGCAAATCTTCAATGTGTTCTCGAATAAATGGATCTCCCATTATATTGCTCCTGTTTTGTTTGAGAATTAATTCAAATTGATTAATGTCATTATTTTGATAACTAACAACAAGATTTGTCATGGCCAAAATTTCTGGATCATTTTTGTAAGGTTTCGCTTCCTGTGAATCGAATGGATTTATTCCCGATTTCATTAACCTGTAAATGAAATTTATTATTAAAGATAATAAAAAGTCCGATTTAAATTCAATTATTTAGTTATTAATTCAGTATTAGGAATTTATTTCTATAAATAAATTAGTTCTTACATGTTTGCTAACACTAAATATTTTAAACAGGTTGTACGTCTCGGCGAACCTGATTCATCGTAATTTTTAAATGCTTCAAAAAAATCGGTGTGTGCTCGCTCGAATTCTCCTTCTCTTAAATGCATTTTCCCACCACATTCTAAAGAAATTTTTTCATATTAGATGAATAATTTCTAATAATTTTTTTTTTAATATAAAAAAAATGTATTTCTTTACTTAATCATTAGAACAGATTGAATGAATAGTACCTCTAATGACTCCCATAATGAGGGGATGAGGTATCGCACTTTTAATATGTAAACTTTGTTCGTAAAGTGTTTTTAGTTTTTTGTTATTCTTCTGTGCAGTGTACATTTGAATTTCAAGCGCATAAATTTCCAATAATTGAGTCCCTTTCTTTAAGTCATCTTCGCCATCGTCGGTCTAAATTTTCAAAAATTATTATCAAATAAAAATTAATTAATTAACTTGATAATTAAATTAAACAATAAATAATTATTATAGACTCACCTGACAACTTTGGTGCAGTTGTTTCAGTATTTTTGCTAATTTATTAAAATCTGATCGATCAAAATATAGCTTTCCTAATTTTGTATTTGTTTTAAACCACAGTCTGTCATTTTTTGCGTCTTTTAAAGCGTCTAAAGTAGTTTCATAAAAATCTTGCAGCAATTCCATCTAATTATTAAAATTATATTAATTTTTCTTAGAAAAAATTTAAATTACATATATATATATATTAATTAAATACTAACGTTTTTGGATGTGCTAATATAATCCAAAATTGAGTTTATAGATTTTTCTGAATGATTTCTCGTTACTGCACTTTTAATATAGGTGAGCAGCTGTTTGTACCTGGTCATCATCTCCTTATAATTAGACTGAAATAATTAATAAATCATAAATACTTAAAATTTTTAATTAATTTAATTAATTAGGGCACTGTAAAATATCAAATTTTATTCATTTTGAACGTTCAGATAAAGTAGAAATTTAAACTTACAAGTTTGAAGTTAATTTTTATCATTTGTTTAAGCGCTTTAAAACCCCATTCTCCTTTATCACCTCCTTCCAAATCTAAAACTTTTTGGAAACTTTGTAATGCTGCTTTTGGATCATCCTCCTTTAAAGCCTTACTATTATAGTACTGATTTTCCAAGTCTACGTCTGGTTCGGAATTTGAATCCTCAGAATACTCCTAAAAATATAAACATATCGTTTTCGATTTTGAAATCTTACAAAAAATAAATATTTCAATAACAGCCAAACAAATGCAATAAATTGACAGTTATCAATTACTAAAATTTCATTCAACACTGGAGATATTAAGTTTACTATGAAAAGCATAAATGTCTAGGAATAATATAACAGATACATGTTTTGCGTTTAAATAAATCCTAATTAAAAATATATAACATCTTCATCAAAATGTATAAATTATCAGAAAATTAAAAATCAACATTAAAACTATAAAATTTTATATTTTATATAGATAAATGTCAAAAAATTAATCTTCATAACATTCATCATATGCATTTTCAAATTTCCCAATTAGAACTAAAATTTAATTTTTTTGTAACAAATAATATTGAATAATTTAAAATAACTCAAAATAAGAATTGAAATTGATTTTTTAAAATTAAAAAACAAAAAAGGAAGGAATTTTTGCAATCTTGCAGAACGAACATAACCTATACAACTATAAAAACGACTTGGAAAAGACGCTACATAAATGTTAGGAAAATAAAAACATTACCAGTCCATAGTCTTCCTCTTCTTCACACATAAAGTCATCTTCTCCATCTGACATTTTGGAAAAATTTTGAAAATTTTAGTTATTATATTTATCTAAGCACAAACAGCAAAAAGAAAACAGAAGTTCAGATGAAAACATGAACCGGCACGACTAAAGTAATATCTACCGTCGATAATTCAGAAAATAATTTTTAATTTGTCCAATTCAAAAATAACCCCAGGTAACAAAAATAATTTATAATTAAAAAAAAACAGTTTTTTTTACTTATTTATAAGAATTTATTTAATTTTATTAATTAATTATTTTTGAATTCCATGATAGCCAACTTGAGAAAGTTAATGAAAATTAAATTAAAAGTTTAAACGAAATTTCGATATAAGATTTTTATTTGAGACGTAATTTATATATTTTTAAATTAAAATTAATATTTTTATACTCAATAGTATATTTTTTTTTATTACATTAGTAAAAAAACAAAATTAATTTTTAAACATTCTTGATAAGCCCGCCATTAGATTGTAACTTTTTTCAAATAGGTTAAGTTGGCAACACTGAATCGCATGATCACGTGATTACATAGTTTCCCACTTTTTTCAAGTCAAAACGGAGCTCCTATATTTTAACAGTTTTTAAGTGTTAATAAGTGTTGATTTAACAAAATTTTTGACTAAGTTTATTTAAATTATAGTCCCAGTTAATGTAATAATTATAAAAGTGCAAAACAAAGTGATAATTCAGCAGATTGAGAGTTCATCAACCCGGCTTCCCGGCACCACAAGGTCCAGTATCTTTTTATTCGACATTTTTCTTATAATTTTTCTGTTTTATTGAATTATGCTTATATTTTATTGACATTTTCGATTATATTTATATAATTATAATGACAAACACAATCTAAAATTATAACAAAGTTTATTTTTATACAAATAATACACAACCTCAAAATGTACATGTATGTATATTGGCGATATTTTTGCACAATATATTGTCGAGGAATTATGGCTTTTTCACAATTACCACCAATTCTTTTTAATAAATATTAGAACGACAAGATTTTTCACCTTCTATTGGAAGAAAAATCGATAAACATTAAAATATAATAGAATTTTACTTTTTTAATGGAAAAAAAAAAAAATTTGGCGGGATAAAGTTGGAGAAAATTCCACTTTTTTTTACAATAGGTATACTTAATGCTATTATAAATTGAAATTAAATATATAAAATTATTTTTTTGTTAACAAATGAAGGCATGTATCAAATGTGCTTAATGATGACGGTATTCCTTCTAATTGATTTAACAAAGCTATTGCGTGTGGAATATTTTTTTGCTCCACTAACCTGTCAATTAGCAGTTTGATATTATTTTCTATTTCTGGTATGGTTCGATTTAGAAATACTTCTTCCAAAATTTGATAATAAAGCTCGTGTGACGGACTGAATGACGCAGTTAAATTTTTGAAAAACAATTCTTCTAAAATTGGATTTATCAATTTCAGTGTCTGTAAAATAATTTGAACGAAATTAATTAATTTTTTTTTTTTTGCTAAACATAAAGGGAAATTTTTTAATTAAGTTTTTTTGCACAGCCGAATTAATTTAATAAAGTAAATAAATTACCTTATAGTTTTCCTTAATAAAATTGACTGTTTCTGCGTGAAGAGATTGTTCTGTACAACATAATTTTATGTAAATTTGTTGCTCAAGTGTTAATGATTCTTTTTCATTGTCCAAAAATGTTATAAGTATCTGAAAAAAGTTTTAATAATAGTATCCTGAGTAGAAAAATTAGATTTAGGGCAAATATCAAAAAAAAAAAAAAAAGGGAAAGAAATCAAATTGTTTTTATTAAAAAAAATCTTACGTCTTTCGATATTTCTTGGTCCGTTAGGAGTTCCTTAATTTCCTGAAATATTTCACAATCTATATTATTTTTATCAATTAATTCAATTACTTTTTTTAATAATCTCAGTATAGGATTTCTCTCTGCTGAAATATTTTCAAGATCAATGAAATCTGGCCACTGTTTTAATGTTTCTTTAACTTCAATATATTGACTTTTATTCTCAATTTCATTTAATAATTTTTCAAAAACTTCGTAACGCTCTTCCTCGGTTGCATTTTCACATAAACTTGTCATTGTATCACTTCGCAAACTTGGAATTTCATCCATTGTATTATCTTTGGTTTCTTTAATGTCAGGAAAATCTCCCCAATCATCATTTTCCCATTCGTCCCATCCATCACCTTCGTCATCGACATTATATGTTAAATTTTGACTAAATGTTTTTGAATCTTCAGTACAAATATCGGTTTGATCATCAGATTGAATATTTTCAATAGTTTCCTTTGAATCTTTTTTATCAGATAGTGATGAAGAATTTTTTTCATCAAATTGAAATTCTTTTGAATTTTTCTTCTCTAAGATTGAATTTTTTTTATTAAAATCTTGTTGCTCCATCTCTGATGTTTTATTATCGGAAATGGAATTTCTTTTTTTTAAGTCGATTTGTTGAGAATGATTTGTGATTTCACTTTTTGTTTTATATAAATTAATACGTTTTTGCAGTATCGATATTAATTCTTGATGATTTTCAAATTTTGTGACTTTTGTCATTGAACAAATTAAATCAAGTGGATCGTATAAGAAAATATTTTTATCTTCTGGATGTATTTTTTTAAAAAGTTGTAAAGCGAAAAAATAGAGCGCAAGCTGATTGTTTAAATCTGTATTTGGTAAATTGTCAAACATTTCATCAATTTCCTTCATTGAATTCTCACTCATATTCATTAAATATCCTAAACCCAATAAACAATCTTCACTTATTACTTTTTCCGCAGATTCAAGATACACTGTAATGAAAATTTTAATTTTCTTATTAAACAAAATTGTTATTGTTAATTTTAAATAATTAGTAATGATTAAAATTTATTTTATTAATGAAAAATAAAAGAACTTACGATGATTAACGTCACTGACTTCCAAACCATAACAGGCTGTTTCGCTCAGTAAAGAAACCCTCAATAAAGTTTGACACAATTTTAATCGGGGATTAAATTCATTTTCATTTGAATATTTTGTATATTTTGTGTCAAATTTACTTAATTTGGAATTTTTATGTAGAGATTGATAAAAACAAGGAAAACTTTGTACATTGTCAGAAATAATTTCCTCCACTTCATCATTAGGAACAATATTTTCAATTTCTCGTGACAAATTAAAACTAAGTGCTGTCTTCCAAAAATCTTTATTCCCTGCATTCCTTAATATTCCAAAAGTGGATTCTTTTACTAAATTTGCCGAATTTATCACCAATTCCGTTGATGTTCCCAAAATATTTGGAATAAATTCCTTGTTCTCCACTTGTGGCTGCAAAAAAAAGAAAATGATTGATATTAACAATTATTATTAACTATAATTAGAAAAAAAAATCGCATTTTTCCCTACTTACTGTTGTCACAGCATCCGTGAATTCATCATCACTTTTAACATCGTTTTCCCAATCCTCATTGTCACCAGGCATTAAATCTTGTATGGTTTTATTCAAAATTTGTATTTCTAATAAATTTAAATATTTCATTGTGTCCTCCAAAATATCGGGCGTTCCATGAATTAACGTGAAAGATAAACATCGTCGTCTAAATTTTAGATCCTCAAAATTATCGCTATTCCCTAAATTCATTGCTATTTTCCAAGCAGGTTCATAATTGGCATCTATCATTTTTTCCACTGAGAAAGCACATGCACTGTAGTCATTTACCTATAGTGAATATAATTGAATTAAAAATTCAAATAAATGTTAAGTTTTAATTATTTTACATTTTTTTCAAAAGTTGAAAAAAAAATTAGTATTTTTATTTACCTCTAGAGCCTTTCGTGCAATTAATTCATAAATTCTTCCTTCTCTTAATTTTTCATCATTTCGATGAATATGCAAATATTTCCCGAGATTTAGTAATTTTTGGCGATTTTTATAAGCAGTGTCCCAACTCCTTAGACATGTTTCAATTAATTTTATCTTATCGTTTGTAAGTCTTACTTGAAGAGGAAGAATATTTGTATTGAATTCGTCCAAGATTTTTAACGAATCAATAAGATTATATTCTTCTTTGATTCGTGGATTATCATCTGTAATGAGATGTAAACAAGCTCTGAAAAAAGAAAAAAAAATTGATTTACATTTTTAATTTAAAGTTAAAATATTTTTTTAAAAAATTGTAATTTTTACTTTGACAGTTCCATATTCGTGTCGTGTAGACTTTTTGCACTATTAAAATATTCAATACTCGCATTCAATATTAAGTCTACTGCCCTCTCATAAGAAACTTTTAATAGTGATTGTTCATTTTTCTTCACTTCCATCAGAGTACCACAATTTTGAATTGTTGCCTTAACTCCCGATCGTAATCGAGCTGATAGACAAATTTCAAAACACACTTCCACATCTAAAGTTTTGAAAATTAATCCCTGCATCTCGAGCATATCATTTAGAAGATGAGCCCAAGCTTTTTCGATAGGCGGTGGAATACTAATAAAAGTAAAAAAAAAAATTAATTTAATTTTATTGTTGGTTTGGAGGATTTTTCTTTTTTATTTCCTAATTCTTACCGATTTTTCAAACCTTCAGACATTTTTATCAGAAGTGATTTAATGGCTTCTAGATTTTCTTTATTTTCATTAATAAAACTAAATGGAACACTGACACCGTATGAATTTAAAATTTTTACACATATTAATTCTCTTTCCAATTCTTCCTGTAATTCGTAATTCACTGATTCTTCTGATTCTTGTTTTGCAATAGCTTCGTGAATTTTTTTAGCATTCTCATACATATCGTTATTGGTGCAAGCATAAATGCATTCAATAGCTAAAGTTACAATATCGTTTATAATTTCCATTATTTCTGAATCGTGTGTTGTTTTCAAGTATTGAAAAAATGTAACTGGCCAACTTAAATCGCCTTTACTAATGTGGATCATATAATTACGAAGAAGATTTGTTTCCGAGTTGCTCTGCTTTTTCTATGAATATTAATTATTCATGATTAGTAAAAATATAAATTTAATTAATAAACAGAATAAAAAAAGAAAAAAGATTCCAATTTTTATTTAATTTTTAAATTCTTACCAAATATTTTTCTTTTCTTTTGATAAATGGCAAAACTTTGTCCTTGAGATCAGCAACAAAATTTGTTTCGGACGATTTGCTCATTAACAATTTGACTTTCTCTAAGTCAGTCAATTTTTTTACTTCAGATAGTGATAAAAATTCGAGTCGTACTTTATAAACGAGATCATCTAATGTTTCTAATTCAAATAGTAAATTTTCCAAACCAGAGATATTTCTATCTTTGCCAATGTTTATTAATCCCAAAGCATAATCAACTATTCCACATTCTCTTTCAATTTCACAAGCTCGCCATTTGTACCATTTTTCTAACAATCCCGAACTTAAGTCCGTATTTCTGTTAACAATTCAAATAGGAAATTATTTAATTTCTTTTGAATAATAAATAATAAATATTAGTAGTTTTATAAAAGAATTTCTTACTTGTAGGGAATCAATGATGGATATAATTCATAAATAATAGATGTCTCGTAATCGTTATCGATTTTCAATAGATGAGAAAATTCGCTTCTCTCGACCCAATCCATTTCGCGTAATTTTCTTTGAAAGAGTAAAAATAATTTGCCTTCTTGATCACATTTTGGTAGCAAATTTTCATATGAGAATGGACTAAAAGTTTCAGGGAAAAAACTCAAAATTGCAAGCCAATGGGGCGTTAATTGTGATCCATAATAAGTAAACATAACTTCAACTCCTTTACAATTACATTCCTTAGCGAATCTAAAAGTAAAAAATTGTTTTAATTAAATAAGAATTTTTTATATTTTAATTAAAATTGAAAATTTAATTTACCCAATTGCATTTTCTAAAGGTGAAAGTTGACGAAATTCTTCATAGAACTCTTTATCATATTCCTGATGTGAATCAAGAATATGTTCATAGGTCGTTAATTTATCTAAAAGATCCAAAAGCTTTTTTCGAATACTTATGAGTTCTTTTTGAGATTCCGAAAAATTTTCAATATCCACTTGCTCTAAATATTTGTTTATTTTTTGAACCTGTTTATGAATTTTTATAATCATTAATTTGTTATCAAAATTGATTTTGAAATAATTATTTTTTAAATTATGATTAATTAAATATTAAATTAAACCTGTTCTAAAGAATGACTATCATCAAAATTGATATCGTCCTCATCAGTTTCAATAGATTTGAATTTTCCATCATCATCGTCATCGTTGATAGCGATTAAAGTCCCTAAATTTGCACCTCGTAAACCAAATTTAAGTAATTCCCTGGCGGCTTCAATATTATCTGGAACTCGTGTTTTACATTCATTTAAAACCCACGATCTCTTGCTAACTTTCGCTAAATGATCTGCAATTGCTTTTAGAGAAAATTCTGATTTTCTCCATTGAGTTTGATAAACAAGATCTGTATCCAAATTGTAAGTTTTCGCTAGAGACAATGCTTCTTCATAATCCTTGAAAAAAATAATTTCAAATAGTTTTCTTAGTTAATTTTTTAAAAATAATTTATAATTATATAATTAATTTCTAAAAAATCACCTCATTTTCAATTTTTCTCGAATATAATTCCTCGGGTGTTGTACTTTTAATTCCCAAAATTCTATAAGTTTTGTGAAAGATTTTCGATTTTTTTCTTTTTGGCTGAAATTTCTCAATGTCAGTCATTGAATAGAGTGTATTTTGAACTAAACGAGTTGTGTAATTTAAAATTGTATTCGACTCTGATTCGTAGTCATCCTTTTCACTATCCGACGATACGTCTGATAAAAAAAAATTGTTTTATTTTCAATTTTTTAAAAAATCATTTCTTATTTAAAAAAAAAATAAATTTTCACCTGATTGTCCACCAATTGACGATTCACGACTTCTTTTTGTGCTCGTTATAAATACTTCACAGTCTAAGCACAAAAATCCACGACCAGCGTTTAATTCGGAAATTTGTGGTTGTCCATACAAAAATTCAGGACTCGTTCCCAAGAGATTTTTCAAATTTTTTATTGAACAAACAGAAACTGAACCTGAATATCTTGCGACGATAATAGTCTATATGAAAAAAATTAATTAGAATTTTCAAATTACAATAAAAATAATATTAAACATTAATTTTTTTTTTATGAATTTCACCTGATTTGACCACCAGCCTAAATCCATTGGATGAAATTCTGAAAGACCAGGGGGAAATTTCTTGAATTTAATCGTATCTAAAGGATTTGTTAAATTATATTCCGGCTGTTCATTTAGTTTCCACATATTTTCAAGTTTGAGAGTAGGCAAATTCCAAAGTGTAATACAACCATCAGTGTGTAGACATGCCAAATGTTGACTAGTAGGAGAAATACTTAACTTAAATATTATCGATTGTGCTTGATTTCTAATTGAAGGCATATAATTCCAAATTGAAAATGCAGGTTTTATAAGTGTTTGTTCTTCAAAAGAAAACGATAATTTATAGTAAGGATGATCATTTAAAAAACGCCAGGACGATAATCCAACTTCTAAAGCTGTACACTGAAAAATTCAATAATTTTATTATTTTTTTTAAAAATTAATTAAAATCTATAATATAATTTTACTTACTGTTAAATTGCGATTAATCGTATTACCAGCGACAAATAAAAGATCATATTTTTCGCTATAAACAACTGCATTGAGGCCATTTCTATAAAAATTTCCAAATGAAAATTCATGATTAGCTTCAAAATTATTTGACGAGGATATATAATATGATTTTAAGAGACCACTATAGGAGATACTGATAAATTCATATTCCCAAATATCACTTTGAATTCTTGGTTTTTTAAATATTGTCGAAGCTATTGAATCGCCCGCTTCTAAAATATCAGGACTTGACGAATCTGTTTTTGGATTAATATTAAAAATATTGTTCCCCATTGAATTGTAAAATGATAAATGACCATTGCTTGAGGCTAAAACTAAAAATTGTCCATCGGGACTCCAAGTAATTTTTCGCCATTGAGGAAATGCATCTTTTGGCACTGGAATTAAATTTAAAAATTCATTAGATTCTTTATTTATTAATTTTTTAATAATTAATTTATTATCTACCGGATATTTTTCCAGTGACTGATAAATATTCATCCTTTAATTTTCTTATTTCTATTATAGTTTCTTGTAAAATTGCTAAAATTCTTCCATTATCGCCAATAGCAAATTTCCAAGATAGAGTGAAACTAATTTGTTGTGATATACTTTCTGGCAAAGAATATCTATTATTTAAATATCGTAGAGCATTTTTTATTGTTCCTGTTGGCAAAATAACCCCATCGTTTTTACATTTCTAGAAAAAAAGAATATTTTTTTTTGTTATATTTCACATTTTAGTTTTTAGTATATTTCAAATTAAATAAATTTTATTTAATTAAATACTGTACTTACAATTACTTCTGGTTCTTGTTTTTTAACGAAATATTCTAAAAGTTCGTACAAAATTGATTCCTCTGTCATTTTCTCTTCTGGATTTGGACCCATTTTTTTTCGAATAACTATATCACTAGGGAGAATTTATCATGTATCACATTTTTTTTTTGCAATTGTATTATATAATTTAACGAGATTTGAAAAAATTTTCATTAATAATTGTCATTTTTGACATTTGTGACATATTGACTTTTAAGGTTAGGTTACAATCAGCATAGAAGTATATATATTTATACGTGTTATTTATATGTCATGTAGCAGTGTGTTTATTTAATTTATCACACATTTAAATGTACATGCAAATAAATATTTGCGATTTATTTTGTCCGTAATGATAGTGGAAAATAGAAAATTTAAATGGAACAAGAAGACACGTCACTGTTTTGATCGAAAATTCCGGTGCTAATTTGAGGTTATGTGTCAATGTTGTTTATCTTTTTATCTACTTATCTACTTATCTGGTATTTACTTTTTATATTATTTAAACTATTTCTTTTAACGTGTTATTGATTATTTAATTAAATGAATTGAAAAATAAAATTTAATAATTATAATTAAACAAAAAGTGTAATAATTAAATTTTATTTTTAAACGAAATGAATGTTTTAGATTTGAATATAGATAATAATTTATCTAAAATATAATCTGGGTATTTGAAAATAATCTTTATTTTATAAAATTTTTTTTTTATATTTACTTTTTTGTGGAATATAACCAAATAGTAATTGTAAATCTTAGGAATGAAAATTAAATGAAAGAAAAGGATTTATAAGACTAAATTTGTTTATTTTGTATAATTATAAATGACAATAATTAAAGATCTTAGGATACAATAACAATAAATAAATATTGTAGGGAAGATCAGCAATCTTTTTTTTTTTTACAAAATTCATATTTTCCTGAGATAAAAGAATCTTATACTACTTATATATGCACACATGTCTTTCTGAGGTAATCGATTTACTTCTTTTTATACAATTTTAATATTTCAACAATTATTTACAATTAAACTTTCACTTATTAACGCTTTCATATTTTTATGACACAATAAATATAAAATTTCTTTTCATTTTGGAAATTTTTGAGCGAAGAATATAAAAACGCATTTTTAACACTTATAATTGAGGAGTAAATTTTTAAAATCTGATAAATCCATTTTTCAAAAAAATGGAGATAAACATAAATTTAATATTTTAAGGACCTCACAAATCTTCCTGTCGCTGTTAAATTTAAGAAAAAAAATAATTTGTTAACAACGAATTTTCAATTCAAAAACTTTTGGACATAACCAAGATCAGTTATAATTTTTATGTTTTTTATTAGAAAAAATTACCAATACCTGTAAATAATTAAATTATGATAAAGTTTAATTAAAAACAGAACGTCTTGAATATAAAAACATTGTTATAGAATTAAACTATTACAAATTTTATATTTTAATAGTAACTACAGTAGTTATGTGAGAAAAGTCATTTCTTTCAATTTCTCGAAATAAGAAAATATGGATTTATCACGTTTTGAAAATTTGCTCCTCAATTCATAAAAAATATATTCTCGATAAATTAAAAATAAATTAAAAGTTAATTTAAAAAAAAAAAAAAATACTTTCACCTACCAACCCATTCAATATTTGGATAAAAATTAACAACTAACGTCTCGTATTCCTTGAAAGCTTTTTCAATTCCACAATGTGGTATATAACAAACTTGATGATTTGGTTGTATTTTGCCAGCATAATACATACCATCGATAAAAACTCTACCAATAAATAGTGGATAATTATCTTCAGTTTCACCGCCAGGTAATGCATTTAATGGAACACTACCATCCCATGATTTAATCCAATTTATCGTTTTTCCACACAATACTTGAAAATGTGATTTATTGTGTGCACTACCACCCCATGCCAAAGTACAAATATCGCCCTCAATATTTCCTGGTGTTACAGAACCTTCATGTTGAGCTCGTCCTACAAATGAACCACATTCCGATACTGTCACTGCATTTCTTGGCATTCCTAAATTCTCATTATAATTAATCCAATAATTATTTGTGTCCAATAATTGTTGTCGTATTTCCAAACACTGTGTCTGTATTCCTAAGGTGTAAGAATTTTTCTTTAGTTTTTTTTTGGGGAGGGGAATTATAATAATTGTATATTTTAAAAATATTACCGTCTAGCACCCAACTTCCTGTTGCACCATAAGCAGTACTGATACCAATATAATTTATAATAAAAGGATCTTTGTCGCGATAGGACATGAAAGGTTCACATCCCTCATGACCAACTGATAATAAACCATTGTACCATTTCCATCTGAAATTAATTTTTCCAATTTATTTTTTATTTGTAAATTAAAATTTTATTTATCTCACCTTATCCAAAATGAACGTTCATCTTCTTCACTTAAAATATCTCTCGTTTCAACTAATGATACACTGGATTCGAGATTATTGACTTTTATCGACGACATTGTATTTTCTCGTTCGCCAAGGGCAATCTTAAAAAGAGAATTAATATTAAATTAATTATTTAAAATTTAATTAAAATAAATTATTTTTTTATATAAATATATTATATATAGTAATAATTATCAATTATTAATTAATTATCAAATATTAATTATCAATTGTGACGATTCAACACTGTCAAACTAATTGTTCGATATTTTTGGAGTTTAAAATTATTATAAAAAATATTTATAAACATTTAACATATATTATAGATAAATATCTCTTTGATGGTGATTAATTGCGGAAAATTAACAAATTTTCCATTTTATTATCTATATTTTTTTATTAAAGTGCAAATGATTAATATTGCCATACCTCATAAACTTTAGAATCTTCCGCTAAATGAGTTCTAAGTGATATCCTTGCATCGTGACTGGCTTGAATACTTACATGGACTTCTTTATTTGAAATTGGAAAGTAGCAATAATCCATACTGTCTATTGTATTAGTAATCACTGAAATATAGATTCATATAGCTATAATAATATAATATTAGAATTTTTATAATTTATTTAAAATTTATATATGATAACAAATATTCAATAGCTTTATTATTATTATTATTATTAGTTGATGTCAACTTTAAAAACAAAATTCCCGGTGCTGCGTGGGTGGTTATTTATAACTTTTATCAAATAAAGAACCAAATAATTTTTTTCTTTTAATTAAATAAACTATATTCCAATCAATAATTTGAGTATATTTATAAAAAATAAATAATTATTTGTTAATAAATATATTTATTTGATAATAATTATAATAAACGCTTAAATCAAAAAAATGTTATCAGTTTATTAAATTTAAATTTATTACAAAAATTATCTGATTATTTTAATTAAAAAACTTAAATTTATTACTTACTTTTTGCAATATAAATTAAATATTATTTTCCACCAAAAAATAATTTAATTTTTAATTTGTCAATTCTTTTGATTTTGTTATTTGTAAAATTATTCAATTTTCATTTTTAAAATTTCTTTGTACGTCGAATTTTTTTGAAATAAGTTATTATTTTTTTTTAACACATCGTAACACTTTTAACACATTTTGTAATTGTATATAAAAACAGCTGGTTTATTCGAAAACGCCACCTTGCGTACATATCTCTAGGCTCAAAATCAGTATGACCAATAGAATAAAACTAAAATTTTTTTTTTGAAATTCTTCAATAAAAAAGATAGATTTTTTTAATAAAAAATAATTTCAGTACAGAAGAAAATTCATTTATATAGTTTTTTTATTTTTTGTTAATAATTTTTTTTTTGAATAATTTTAATAGAAATAAATTAAATGGGTATTTATTTAAACACAATGATTTTTTTTTTCATAATTTGGCAAAACTGTTTTTAGTAAAATCTATAATATGAAGAAAATATTATATATACATTTGCAGAGATTGATTTATTTTTTATTCTAATAAAAATATGTAAATGTTTAATTAAAAAAAGAAAATATACATAAAATATAAGAAGTTAATTAAAATTCATTGATTTAATATTTATGAGAGAAATACAACAAATTGTTTTTTGGCAAGTAAACATTTCAAATGAAATTTAAATTTTTTGTTTATTTATTGCACATTTTTTTTCTCGTTTTACATTATTTTTTTTGCTTTTAGTTTTCAATAATTTTTGAGCATTATAAAACTTGAATTAAAAGAATTTTGTTTACTATTAAAATGAATCATTATCTTAATAAGATATAATAATTCTGGAAAATATGTTTTATGTGAAAAAATATTCGAATTAAGAACAATAAAATTCTTCTTTCCAATTTAATTTGGGAAGATTAGAAAATTTGTTAGAACAAAAAATTTTTTTTTTATACCTATTTAATTTATTTCTGTTTAGAATATTTTCAAATTAGGTAAATAATCTAAAAAAATGAATAGGATTAAAAATTTTTTTATTTTTCCCAAAAGTAGATTAGTTAATTGTTTTAATTAATAGAACAGGGATAGTATAATGGATCAATTTTAAGTAGTCGTTCAGTATTTAAATCATCCAATTTTTCAAAATCGCAAATATTTTTTCTATATATTTTCATATCCTCAGTTAATCTCTTTATTGTTTCTTTCATAATTATATTTGAATATCTAAGATTTTCGAATGCTGAAATTATTTTTAAAAAAAATTTTAATTCAATTTTTCTTATTTTAATAATATATTTAAAAAAAAACAATTATAATTAAATTTTGATTAAATTATATATTTTGTGACTAGAAAATAATTACGATGATCAGATAAATTTATAATACTTAAAATAATATTCCGATATTATCAACGCACCTTGCTCTTTACTAATCTTATCTTTTTCGATTGCACTCTGTAAATTTTTTGAAGCTCTTAATATTTTTTCATGCCAATTAATTGATACATTTTTAATTTTAATTTCACCAAAATTTCTTTCATAACTTTCAATATAATTATTCAATTGTTCTATTGACGTTAACTTTCTTTTTTTATTTTCAATACTGCGATAAATATTCCCATTCATGCAGTATTAAGAGGTTTTTTTTTTCAACGATAGAGATAAGATTTGATTCTAAATATAAAACAATAGTTTGACAGATGCACCGATCGTTTTTTTTTTTAATTTTCAAAAACAATTGTTTTTCATTTTTAAAAAAATGTTTTTATTTTCGCACCACATTTATTTAAGAAAAAAGTTAATATTATTTTCTTTTGCAATTTATCAAAGTAGATATAATAATAATAATAATAATAATAATAATAATATATTAAAAATTGCAGTAATTAATAATAAAAAAAATGAATTTTCAGATAATGAAAAATTTGAAGAAGTTAATGAAAACATTTTGAGAAGTGAAAGAAAAATGAATAAAATAAAATTAAAAATTTGAAATTAAAATATTATTAACATGTGATAAAAATATATATGATGGCTTGATAAAATATTTTCTCTCTTTTTTATTGTATATATATATATATATATAAAGGCAATATCAACGAAAAATCTAAAAGATGGGAAACAAATAAATATGCTAATCTTGAATAGTGATTATTCCAATATATCTCTCGAGAGGTTTCGCTTGTTTTGCCGATAACATTTCATTGTTGTCAATTATTATTATCAGTACAAGAATAAAGTCTACGTGCCTTGGAATATATTTATGATTAATTCACCTTCTATCATCACTCATGATTCATTATTAAACATCCTACGAGGGGGTTTGAATTGACCCTTTCCGTTTAAACAACTCGCAGTCTCTGTTTGGCTCTTGAAAGAGAACGTTCATTATCCTTATTGTTTATCAGTTTCTCCCCTTATTTGCTATTTTTTTTTTTTTTTGCTTCCTTGTTTACTCCTGAGAGAGTAAAAAAATGTCTACTGAGACATTTTTAACTCCTGGTCAATTAATCAAGCCAATGATAAATCAAGAAACTGCCATTGATATTGTGAAAAGAGTTTATGGATTAAATGTGATAAAAATCATTGAACTTAATGCATACGATGACAAGAATTATCATATTTTGTGTGAGACGAAAAAATTTAATAATCAACATATTAATAAAATTAGTGATGATGGTTATATTTTGAAAATTGTCAATTCATTGGATTCGAAAAAAATAAATGTCATTGATGCACAAACGGAGATGATGATTTTTCTTAATGAAAATGGAATTTGTTGTCCAATGCCAATTAAATGTATTGATGGTAATTATTTTTCATTGGAAAATTTAAAATCATCAACAACAAGTGATGATAAAAATGTTGTACGATTATTGATTTATAGACCTGGAAAATTATTAATAAATGTGAAAAAAACAAATGAACTTATGTTTGAAGTGGGCAAATATATTGGCACATTGAGTAATAAAATGCAAGAATTCATACATACCGGTTATGATAATCATGAGACAATTTGGATGTTACAAAGTGTACCAAAAATACGTGAATTTCTTGATGTTTTAAATCAAGAGAATCAAAAAATTGTCAATAATATTGTTAATGAATTTGAATTGAAAGTAATTTGTTGTCTTGATTATTTTGATAAGGGTTTCATTCATGGTGATCTTAATGAACAAAATATTGTTATGGCTGATAATGAAAGGCAAATAAGTGCTATTATTGATTTTGGTGATTCGTCGAAAAATTGTTTAATTTTTGATTTAACAATATCATTAACTTATATGATGTTACAAACAGAGAATCTTGAATCGGGAAAATACGTTATTCAGGGATACGAGACTGTTAGATATCTTAGCGATAAGGAAAAGTCAATTATCAAAATTTGTGTTTGTGCACGATTATGTCAGAGTTTAGTACTTGGACTTTATTCACATAAAAATGATCCAAATAATGAATATGTACTCACCACACAAAAATCCGGTTGGAAATTGCTCAATCAACTTTGGTTTATGAGTGATGATACAATTTCACGAATTTGGAATATTAATTAATTGTTTGTCAATTAAAAATTTGTTACTAGTTATTAAAAAAATAATCAATTATTTATAATTAAACAAAAAAAATTAATAATAATTTTTAAAGTAAATAATTGCAATTAAATCGACAAATTTGTTAAATCAAATGAATAAAGAACCAAATATTAAAAAAAAATATATTTATTTAAATAAATAATTTAAAAATCAATAAATGGATTATTGAGAAATTCAAAAGAAAAAAAAAATATTTTTGTGATATACACTTCCCTCTTTCTTTATTGCTTTTTTCACATATGTGTGTACTTACATTTATTTTTTTTTTAAGTAGACACATGCGTGAATATACGTCAGGCAGTTACATATGTACATAGATAATAATGAACAATAATATTTTTCGTGTTTTATAATTGTTATAATAATAATTATTATTATAACATGTAGCCATTTTACAATATACTTTGATCGTGTGATATATACAAAAGTGATAGTTCTAGACCTAAAAAAAAAAAAAAAAAAAAATTGTCTTGTAGGTACTTATGTATAATCGGCGAAACTACAATCATTTTTATATATCGCAATTAAATATAATATACGCAAAAATTCTTTTGTACAATTAATCATTATTAAACACTAATTTAATTATTAGGTGTTTCTGACATCATCTGCACTTCCCAAAAAAAATTTATTCTTTCATTCTCTTTTAAATAATTAAAAAAAAATACAATATTTATATATTGAAATTTCAAAAATATTTTGCAGAAAAATTAAATTTTTAATTCCAAAATATTTATTATTCAAATGATTGTTATAAATAATTATTTTCCAGTATTTTATTATTAATAATTAATAATTTAAAATTTATTGTCAGTTAACCAAAATGTTCCCATTTTGAAGTGTTTGAAAATAAATAAATTAATATAAACTAAAAAATAATATAAATTTATTTTTCGTTATAATAATAATGAAAATAATAAATAAAATATTATATTATTAATTTTAATTAATTAAATATGAATTAAAGTATATATATATATATATATATATATATATAATTTTGTATATATGTAACAATGTCAATTTGGAAAATGGGAATATTTTGGTTAAAGAAAAATGAGAATAATTGAAATTGGGATGCGCGGAATTATACAATGTTATTTCAGACAATTTAATTAACTATTGAATACGTGCGACTAATTCGCTTGCGTAATTGCGCTTTCGTGTGAATTGCTCTCAGATTTAATATTATAAGACCCATGTATTCATCGCTAATTGCGAGTTTTTTTTTTTTTTTTTTGCTCTTATATGTACTTTACATTACCACATTTTTAATCAAAATGTAAATATGAAAAACAAAAATTAACACTGAAAAAAGAATTTTATTTGATATTTTTTTTAAATCGGTTACTGAACTTAACAATCATAAAAAATAAATATTTATTTGAATCATTAATAAACAGCGTGTTTAAGCGATAAAAATTTTTTTTACAATAGAAACAAATACCACTTAATTCACTGATACGAATAAATATTTTTTTAATGATAATAATATTTATTTAGTAAATAATTGTTCATTTTTAAAATTTTTCAACTAAAATTATTTTTTCAGTTACAAAATTTTTCATGCTTTAAAGTATATTTTTGAAAAATTAGAAAAAAAAATTAGGTAATTAGGTAAATTAATTTTATAATTATGCAAAAGTTTTATAAACTCTTTCGTTTTCAATTCTTTAATTTGTTGTTCTCTATTCATGTGTGTTTGTTAAATTTGTTAATTTTGAGAAATGTTTTATTAATTTTTTGTTTAAATACGATTAAATGTGAATTAAATTCACAATTTGTAACGCAAATATTAACATTGATCAAAAAAAAATTATAACAAATTTTAACAATAGTAAAAATTTTTATCTCCTTTAATGACAAAAATTAGTTTCAATCAATTTTTTTAATTAGTGAAAATTATTATTTTTATTAATATATAAGAATAATTCGAGGTTATTTATTTTGGATGAATATTTTGTGATCCAATTTGTTCCTCTATAACGATTAATTTTATTTTTGTGTCCTTTAATAGAATAACTTTTATATATATATATACTTTTAGAAAAAAAAATGTCCTTCTAAGTGTCAAACACGAGGCACACGAAGGTAAACTCGAGTTCTTTGATCAACATTTTAAACTTCACATTAATGAATTTTCGCCAGAGATTCTTAACAAAATATTATATTACATATTATATCTATATTTATAATTCTACTGCACTTGTGAAAAAAGTGTTTATCTCAGAACATTTTCTTTCTTTTTTTTTTTTTTTTTTTTATTAACATATGGTACATCACATCGAAAAACAGTGAGGCAAAATGTTTTTTCAAAAGTGTTGTAGAATAAAATTTTATTGCTTAAAATCTATATATATATATATATATTGGCTTACGCTTTACCCTCAAAGGGTTTTTTTTTTTATAGGCATAAGTTCATTTTTTATGTTGTTACGATAATTCTATAATTTTTTTTTCTCCTAGTATACTCAGGGTATAAATTACAGTGCTGCATAATTGTAATTTTAAATGAGAAACTCATTAATTAACTAATTAAATAACTAAATAATTAAGTAATTAATTAATTATTCAAATAGTTAATTAATTTTATCAATAAATCAGTCAATAAATTAATATAGTCGATTAATTAATTGATCAATTAATTAATCATTAATTAAAACTGAATAATTAATTAGCTGATCTATTAATTAGTTTATAAATCAGTTTTTAAATAAATTAAAAAAAAATAATTATCCCGTGTGGAAAAGTGATGTGGGCCCCCAGCGGGGGCCCTTATGGATCGCCCTCATGCCATGAGGGCCGCATATGGATGATCCATAGGGGCCCCTCATGGAAACGACATGCTCATCGATGAGGGCGCCCGCATGGGCGATCCATGAGGGTGCCCCTACGGGCGCCCTTATGGGCCCTCACGTTTGCCCTCATCTTGCCCTCAAGTTTGCCATAATGTTTTTTAATCAATAATATTAATAATAAAAGTTAATTAATAATAAATAAGCTTAAGTTATGAATAAATAACATATTTATTTAATAATTATTCAATTTTAAATTAAATTCTTACTCAAATTCAATTTATTAATTAACGTTCTAATTAATTAACTGTCGGATATAATTAAAAGTAATAATAAATTAATTAATTAAAAAATTAAAAAATATTTAATTTATGCATACTATTAACGGATATTTTCATTTTTCAATTAATTCATACATAGAATTAATGATTAAACGCAAACCTGAGAAATAAATAAATCTAACGCATGGGGGGAATCGAACCTACGACCTACGGACTATGAACCTAACGCTTTACCAACTACGCTACGCACGCTACTTCAAAACGAATGCTAACTTCTTGATGCTATTTAAACTTCAAAAATACCTAACAAAGAAAAGTGCTTAACATCATTTAGTTAAAGTTAAGATATTAAATTATATTTTCCAATCAAATGCAATTTATAAAATATAATTAATTATATGCTTTATGATTATTATCATCAATCATCTCAGGTGAATTTTCAAAAAAGTGTAAATATATTTTTATTAAAAACGCGTTTTTCGTTGTTTTGAATCATTGGAAACATTCATTTTTTGTTGATGAAAAAATATTTGACTTTTGGACTTAGAAAATTTTGCTAATCGATCATGAGGGCGATCCATGCGGGGCCCCTACGGTGCCCCTCATGGATTCGCCATAAGTGTGAGTGTTATTTTCAAAAAAGTGTAAATATATTTTTATTAAAAACGCGTTTTTCGTGGTTCTGAATCATTATAAACATTAATTTTTTGGTGATAAAAAAATATTTGATTTTTGGACTTAGAAAATTTTGCTAATCGATCATGAGGGCGATCCATGCGGGGCCCCTACGGTGCCCCTCATGGATTCGCCATATGGATCAGCCCTCATGGGCCCCCGCCGGGGGCCCCGAACTCTTGAGGGCAAGATCGTGGCTTTTTCCACACGGGATAAAAAAAATATTTTAATAATGAAATTATTTGAAAAAATAAAAAAGTCACTTTTACATGAAAATGTTTTTCATAGTGAAAAATTGTGAGGCACCTTGATGCTCTGTAATGAAATGTTCACTTTTACAAAATTACTCAAAAATTCTCTTTCAGTCTTAAAAAACGAGTATTTCAATATTGTGCTGTTATATACGGAACTAAAAAAATCTACAATGACATAGATTCTTATAAATCGGGGTCATAGTGTTTTCTTTTTTTTTTTTTTTTTTATATTAGCAATTCTGGATTATCTTTTAATGAGGATTTTACTCATTGAGCTCGGAACATTTATATAGAAGCTTTTTTTTTTGCGGGATTAATTCTTTATCTGTTATATAATAATAATATATGTCATTTATAAATGAAAATATTATAATTATATTATAAAAAAAAACTTTTTTTTCTCCTTTAAGAAAAATAGTTTAAAAAATTTTTAAGTGAAACTTCTTTTTATACATTTTCCATCATTTATAAACACATTGTTATAAAAAAAAATCTATTTGAAATTTTATTCTCTTTTTGGTGGAGAATTAACTAATTTGAGAGAAATTATAAATTTATTTTAGATAAAAAAGAAGGTAGTAAAATTTATTTACAAAGAATTAAATATAGACAATATTGTCTATATAAATTTCGACAAAAAAAAATTTATATAAAATTGCTATTTTAATATTATTAATATTAAGATATTATTATTATTATTATTATAAAATATTATATTTTAAAATAATAATTTTTTTGAATATTTATATTAATAATAAAATAATGGCAAAAAATGTGTGTTTTTTTTATGGATTCTATGAACAGTAAATGAGAATAAATCAGTTCTTTTTTTTTACTTGATATTATTCTTTATAATATCAATTTTAATTAGAGAGAAGATAATTTTTTCGGTATTTTTTTTTTTTTTTGTTTTACAAGGAGGCTTTTTGTGGTTACGATGAGGCAGTATAGGAATAAATATTTAGAGCACAAATGAAAAATGAAGTAGAATTGTGGAACCAGTTTTTTTTTATATATTTTTTTTTTTAAAGAGACGATGTTTGGAATGTATAGAATCATTTATAGTGGTCTGCATCGATTTCGATGAGGGCTTATAGAATAATGATAGGAATATTGTTCCTTATTTTATATAAATAGCGTTCGCGAATTATCACTTATCACACACTCTTTTTATCTTCCTTTTTTTTTTTTTTGAAGCACTTGGCTCATCGCCTTGAAGCTTTTCAATTTTAGTACCTATTTTGTGTCACTTTATCTAATCTAAACTCCTTTCTCTCTCTTCATACAAGACGAGCAGCATTGCTTCTTGTAAAGTGGCTCTTGACACATGTTCATTGTCTTCACTCTGTTGCACAATTGAGATAGGTCCTTGCAATCCTCTAAGAGAAAGAGAAAATTAGATAAATCATTTTGTGCATTATGTTTTGAATTTTTTATTTCAAAAAACTTTAAATATATAGAAAATTAATTTAAAAATGAATTAAAATTTTTTTTTTAAATTCTAAATTTTTTTTCCAAATTATTTTGGTATTTTTTTTTTCTTTACCTGGTGATCGAAGGCATGTAGGACCACGACAAGTTTTCATAACTGGCGGTCGTGAAAGATCCCTGCAAGCATTACCAGCTGGTTTTTTTGTTCCGAACCATACACATTGTAAAATTCTGTATTTTATTCCATCCTCCTCACATGGCGCGGAACACTAAAAATAAAAGACCAATTTTATTTTACAAAAATTTTTTTTTTTTTTTTGAGAAATTTAGTAAAGATAACAAAAGAGTATGGTAAATTTTACTATATATCTAAAGTAAAGTTTATCAAATTCTTTCTAAATTAGTATTTTTTAAAATTAAAATTATTCATATACCTCGGACCATTCACCAACCCTCCAAACACCCTTACAGGCATCATTGTAACATTCTTGTCTTTGTGGAGGTTTTATTCCCTCATCGCATTGACTCGAATTGACAATTGTTTCGTTTTCAGTTCCGTTTTCAATTTCAAAAATCACTCGACAAGTGATGTCCCGTTTTTGCATGGCTAGAAATAAAATATTTCAACAATTATTTGGAAATAGAATTTTTATATCTATTCGGTATTTGAAAAAAGTAGTAAAGAAATTTTTTTTTTCATTTTATTGATAAATTATTATTATTAATTATTAATAATATTATTAGTTATTAAATTAATTATAATAAATAATTATTTTAAAAAACTTTTTATTTAATAGAAAAAATTTCAAATACCTGTTTTCCAATTAAAACATCGAGAATTCTCGCAAGATGTCCATTCTTCGGCATGCCATTGAGGACATCTTCCTGTACCACAAGATTTCACTTTTTCTGGTACAGGATAACCGGCGTCTTCGCAAAGATTTGCACCAATCACAGTACGCTGAGGATTTCTCGTGGTATTCGTCAATTGTTTTGCAGATCGTACAGTGCACTGAGCTCCCCTCATCTGAAAAAAATTATTATTTTTTTCCCTTACAGAAAAGATACATTTTTTTTTGCTAATTAAAATTAATTAATTTTAATTTTTAAAGGAAATTTCATTTTCTAATTTATTTTTCCGTTCCGTTAAATATTACTTAAGGAAATATATTTGTTCATCAGATAATTCTAACGATTTGAAAATAATTTTAATATGAAATTTTAATTAAAATCAATTTAATATATATATATATATATATATATATATATATATATATATATATATATATATATTTAAATCTTTCGAAGAATTAAATTCAAGAAAGACAATTAGTGAATAACTTGACCAAACAAAAAATAATTTTACTCGTCGTTTTTCAAATGGTTTTGAAAGTTCTTTTGCGCGAGCAATCGCGGCACAAACTTTCCAGTATTTAATTGCTTCTAAACTCAGAAGTTAATTAATAAAACTAAACTAGTTTATTCCCTCAACTGCTTCATTCATGAGCCAGCGATTTGTTTTCTAAAATTAATTAATTAATTAAATCCGAGAAAACCATGTTTAATATTCATAGTTAATATTGTTTTTCTTGAATAATCCGAAATCCGAAAAAAATTAAAAAAAAATAAAATAATAGCTATACATATTTAATTAATCGAAAATTCATTTTCAAAAATTTTATTATAAAATTAAAAGGACTATTTTTTTTTTTTAATAAAAGGGGCCAATTTGAAATATTAATTACTACCTGAAATCCACCTCCACCACAAGTTTGGGAACATCTGGACCATTCTGTAGTGACCCATTCAAAGATTAAATCGTCCTTAGCTGCTAACAGCAACAGAAAATGAGAGAATCAAAATTAAATTTAATTATTAAAAATTAAAATAGTTAAAAAAAAAATTGAAAATTATTTAAAAAAATTTTTTTCTGAGAAAAAATTGTGCGATAAATTACCTTTACTGAAAACAACAACTGGACCAATTGTTGGTTGATGTAGCGGATCTTCGCTACCGGAAACTGATAAAATAGGCACATTTTCATTATTACTATTATTATTATTACTATTATTATTATTATTATTATTACTTTGTAAAGAAATATTTTTTGTACTCTTGCTTTTTTCCTCCTTTTCATTAGATTTTGAAAAATTGTTATTTCCCTCATCATTAAATTTCGATCTTCGAAGAACTTCTAATTCTTTTTCTTCTTCAAAATTTTCTATTAATGGTTTTTCTAATTCGTCATCATTTGTTTCATTTTTTATTGTGTTCAATGTGTCATTATTAAATACATGCTCGTGATGAAAATGTTTTTCAATTTGTAATTCCTCCTCGTAAAATTCATTATTTTTCTCGCTAATATTTGTCGTAATTTCCTCGATAAATGGATTTTCAGAAAAAGAAATTATTTTCGTTTTATTTAACGTCTCATCGTTATTTTCTGTTTTTATATTTTTTTCATCAACAATTGTTGTTGTTTCAGTGATAATTTCAAAATTTTTTGTCCAATTTTTTGTTATTTTATCAATTTCAATGGGTATTGTTACTATTTTATTAATGTTTTCGGAATTATTTTTACTTTTGTCAAAAAATGTTGCACGATCTTTGCCTAAATGATTATCGTAGGCTTTTTTTTGTTTTGAAACATTGGTTAGAATTTGTAATAATATTGTTGGTGTTGTGTGAATTGTTTCATCTAATTCTTGTTTTATTGTATTTTTGTGATTCAAATTAATGAGTTCGTCATTTATATCATAGGGATTATTATTGTTTGCATCGTTCTCGTTTAATGTATTTTTTTCAATTTCATCGTATTTCTGATTTAGATTATCATATTGAAAATCACTTTTTAACTTTGACATTGCTCGAGTGGTTGGATTGTCTTGAAAATTGATGTCCAACAACGGTTTCTGATTGATCGACTTTGAAGTGTCTTTAAAAGGCCATAAAGTCTGGGGAAAAAAAATGTTGACAATGATTGAATTCAATACTTGTTTATAGAATGTTGAGGAGAAAAACCGTGTATGAATTTTATGAAACTGAGAATTTTCTAGCATTTCCAATATGGACCATAAAAAAAAAGAAACAAAATATAATATTCACAAAAAAAGCCAAAAATTACTGTATTTGTTAAATATTTTTTTTTTTTTTTGATTTTATAATGATTATTAAAAAAAAGCAGAAAATTGAGAAATGAAATTTTTGTTAATTTGAAAAAGAGTGTTTTTTAACGAAGATAAATAAAATGGGTGACAGTTAATTAATTAGTTTAGTAAATCTCTCACCTTTAGAGTTGAAATTAATTGATTAAAGTGAGGTACCAGCGTCGACGCACTGGATTTAGCGTTTGATTCTATAGACTCAAAACCAGGCTGTATTTGCAGCAATTGTTATCCATTAGTACAAGGAAAGATGTTAATAGTTTTCCAAGAGAGAAAGACAGGAAAAAAGATGAAAAAAAAGTGCGTCTTAATTTAGATTATATTTTTATATAAAAATTCAATTTTTTTTTGGAACATTTTTTTTTTTTTTTTAATATAAAAATATTTATTTTAAAATTATTTCTACCTTGTAAGGCGATGTAACTGAATATTCTTCATTCATTTTTGTCGATCGTGTCGTTGTTGGGGTTGTCCTTATTTTTGGTTTTTGAGTGGTTTTTTTCCGTGCTTTATCTTTTGAATTCGATCCATAAATCTCGTGTCTAGCCTCATGACTGTGATCGTCGCTTCCATAAATAAATGCCGGTTCTAGTCAGATAAAAGAATAATTAAATTCTCATTAATTTATTCAACGAAATGTATATTTCATTTATTTTTTAAATTCTTGATTAGTACTAAAATCGCACTTTTCGGAAAAAAAAAATTATTTCAATAAAATTGAATTTATATTTAATTAATTTAATATAATTAAAGTAATTGAATTCTAATTTAACAATATTTTGACAAATTTTAATAATGAATTAATCACCTGCACGATCGGAATGTACATTTTCATTTGAATTTCCCGCTGATGATTTGGAATTAGTTCCTTGTCGAGTTTGAATTGCGTTACCTGATCGAAGAACTTCTTCGCTACTCATTTGATCTCTTGGTCGTAATTTTACAAGAAGATGCATTTCCGCATGAATTGGTCCAGCTGAAAGTTATTAAAAAATTTTTTTTATCGAGTTGAAAAAAAAAAATTTGGAAACGGATTTTTTATTAATTATAAATTCTATAATTTTTAGGTCCGTCAAACCACAATTAAAATTTAGAAATCGGACTACACTAGATTTTTGGACTTTTTTAGGGCTATTTTTGGACTCTATTAAGAAATTTTGGGCTCTTTAAATTTTTCCAAAAATTACATTTTTTTGTGGAGCTATAATTTTTATTTGCGATAAAAATAGAAAGAATTTTTTCTCCTTGGATAATAAACTTTTCTTACCAATACAAGAATATATTCCCTTATCCGTATAAGCAATATCCATTAATCTTAAAGCTCCTTTTCTGCTAATTTTGTATTTTCTCGATTTTCGTAATTCCGTGCGATCTTTTGTCCAAATAATTTGGGCTCTGAAAATGATTTTAGATTTTTTTTTGTGATGATAATTTTTATAATAAATTTAGATTTTAAAAATTATTTGCTATTACTTTTCAAAATTCTGTACAGGACATCGAATTTTAATGACTGGCGTCCCTTGAAAAATCACAGCAGTCCCACCAATTTTTAAATCGACCTTTTCATTTGGATCTTGTTGATTGAATGTGATATTTTGTGAATTAATAATTGGCTGTTCACTCATACCCAATTCGGAGCATGGTCTGTCGTTACATAATTTTTCCGATTGTGGTTTACGAGAAGGACATTCGTGATCTGGCCGACTTTGTTTATGACCCTGTGCGCGAACTTGTTCACAAGTTACTTTTCGTGTTTTTATACCACCACCACAAGTTTTTGAACACTAATCAAAAAAAAAAAAATTTCAGTATTTAATAAAAAAAATTCTTTCTGAAAAAGAATAATATCTTTTTCCCTTTTTAGTTGACAAAAGGATTTTAATCATAGAATTTTTTGTCAAACGATTGAGACGAGAGAATGCTATATAAAGGATAAATTGTATTTAATCTGTGAGTGAAAATGAGAAATGGTATACCTTTCCCCATTCGCCAGCATGCCACTTGACAGGGCAGTCAAATACATTGCAATATCGTCTGTCCACTGGCGGTGGTTGTGGGCACATATGACTTGGTACAGCCACAGTGTTACCAGTTCCACGTGTCACTTCATGTATGCAAGTGACGTCACGCGTTTGTATCCCAATGCCACAAGGACTCATGCACGGCGAGAAATCAGTTGTATTCCACCTATAAACCATTTTCCAATTTCTATACAAATATATAATTTCATCTTTTGTTTTAATATTAAAGAAGGAATTTAAAAATACAAAAAAATACTTTTTAAATACTTCTACCTACTTTGGAGGACAGGGATGATCGTTACAGATTTTTATTCTTGATTCAGGTTTTGTTTCTGGTGTACATAATAAATTACTGACAACTTTATTTGTATCATCACGTCTACATTGTACGATTGAAGTTTGCCTCCCTAGAATTTATATTAATTTTTTTGATATATGTACATATTTTATAGGTATATAATTTCTCGTTCGTTAAATTTATTTTGTGTGTGTGTGTGTGTGTGTACATGGAATATGAAACTTGTTAATAAGTTGAGATTCCAGAAATATTAACATACCTCCTAAACAAGTAGCGCTACAGTGAGTAAATCCGTTTTCGTGCCAAGAATATGTGGTTTGGACGGAACTTCCGGATGCAACTTTGATGTTACTCTCGTAACTTCCGGACCCAGACGACGATGATGATGATGATCGATATGTGTCTGTGAGACTTGGTTCGGCATAACTACTATCGCCAACTGCATCAATTCTATAGGACAGGCTGTTTTCCATTAAATTACACGAGTCCATTATGCATTTCTCTGAATCAATGGGTTTTGGACCCTTACACTGATAATCTGGTAGATTGGCTATTGTTTTGCTGAATTCGAGAAAAATTTTACAACGTACTTCACGACGTCGAATTCCCTCGCCACATGTTACGGAACATGGGGACCATGCTTCCGCAATGAACCTGAATTGAAAATTATTTATTCATTCCCAGTTATTTTGAATTCATTATTACAAATTGTTTTTGAATCGTGGAATTTTAATTATTTTTGATTTTAAAAAAGACAGGAAAAATTTAATATAAAATTTTAATTATTGTGATGCAGTGATTTTCCCTACGTTTCTGAAATTAAAAAAAATAAACAACTCTTTCTTTATTAAATTTAACATTTGTTTATATAAATTTTTTTTTTATTTTCCAGGTGTCCAGCAGATGCGATGTTACCGAAAAGAGATTTGCTTCTGCTGACAATGGGTGCAGTTAAATGTAAGTTGATTAATTTTTATATTTTTAAGATTACTAAAATAAGAGCGATATATAAAAAAAAAATTATTTATTTATCTTTTATTAAAAATAAATTAAGAATTCATTAATTCTTTATAATTCATGAACAATGTTTTTTTGATACAATTTTATTTTATAATTAATTTTTTGGTAAAATATCTTTCAATTATGCGTATATCACTCTTTGTCGCTCTTATTTTATCGTTAATCTCGATGATGTAATTTTCAATAATGTCTAAAGTAGTGTCGACAATTTTCATTCTATGCTTTTTGCATTACGGTATATGGTGCTTCTGTTATCGATAGCGAAACCCAGCCGCACTGACGTCACGGGGTCGCCCCAGTTTTCATAGCGCGGAGAAAACTATATATATATATATATATATATATATATATATATATGTATTCGCATTTTCTTATATTGCGTCATTTTTCACCTTTTCTTTTCCCTCACTCAAAAATTTAAAAATTAAAAATATTTAAAATAATTTTTATTTTATTTTACAACAGAATTAGATAAAAAAAATAATTTTGCGTTGAATCAAAAACAATTTTTAGTTTCATCTCTTTTGCAGTTAATTTTTAACTGAAAATTTTATTTCCAATTTCAGAATTTTTTTTTTCGTTTCTAAAAAGCCAGACAAAACTCACGTTGATTCTGAAGGTACAGGTTGATCTATCAATTTTTCTGGTACTGGAGGTGGAGCGTATGGTTGCATTAGAGGTTGATTTATATCATCGTCATCTAAATTAAAAATAATTGATTATTAAACTTTTTATCACTAATTATAATTAAAATAATAGAAATTATTTTATTATTTTAATTTTTCCAAATAGTGAAAACTAATTCCCATAATTGTGTAATAATTTTTTCTTATTTTAATATTATCTACAATATCTTGTATATATTAAATGTTGAAACATTTTTCATGTTTTAAAAAAAAGTCTTTGATTTTTGGAGTGTGTAAAATTTGCTTACAACTTGAACAAAGATGACTGCCTTTGCATTCTTGCTCTCCGTGTGGTCTTTCTGCGGAATCACAATCTTCTGAAAATCTCCCATTTCCATCTCGACATTCCACAGACCTTGTTCTTATTCCTGTACCACAGGACACCGAACACTGTTTTGCAGAAAAAAAAATATCTTCTAAAATCCATTTTTTCTAAATATTTAGTAATATTTTAGTTTACTTTAGTAATAAAATTTAAAAAAGTAAAAAAAAAAATCATTAGTGAAAAATGATTTTTCTAGTTTTCACAAATGTGAATTAGTGACCTACTTCTCACTAATTTAAATTTAGAGAACATACAGCATCCCAGTCTATTGGATCATTATTTCCCGCAATATCAGCATTTTAACAATATATAAATAAATTTTGTTAATATTACCATAACTGTATTTTTGTTCTATTGTCAAAAAAACAATAAAACAATTTTGCCAATAATTTTAAACTGCTGTTAATTTTGACCCTTGAAAATTTGTTAAACTTTATTTATTAGGCATTATATATATATAAATTCCATTGTAAACTGTATAAATATGTTGTTTATGAATTGAAGCGAATTGCTTTGTCAGTTTGTAGATTCCAACATACTATGTACATTTGTGTTATGCGTTTATGTGTGTGTGTGTGTGTTATATAGCTGACACAGGAAATGAGGGCAACACAACAGGAACTCGTGTGGGAAAGGCATTAATATATTCTAACTTGTCATGCAATATGTATGTGTGGACTCATTAACACCCTGAGTAATGACAAATGAATTAAGTTTCAACCCCCTCAGCTTTCTACAATGCAATATTGTCACATTCCAGAATCGCAAAATTCTCTCGAGCGCACAAATATATTATATATATATATATATATATATATATATAGGTATATTTATCACTCTATTCCGTAAACCTGTTACTTTTTGAAACATACATATACTATATTGTTAGTCATATATTGTGTTTCAAGGAAGCTTTCTCATCATATATAATTTACTCGACAAAGTGAATACTAGAAAAAAAAATTATTAACCTCTTCATAGTTTAGGCCAAATGAAAATAAGGTTAAATCGGGTTGAATAAATATTTTTAAAAATTGTTTCAGATAAAAATTAGATCAAATGAGAATTAGGTATATATAAGGTATATAAAAATTAGGTTACAGGAGAAATTAGGTTTTGATAAAAATTAGGAAAAAATAAAATTAGGTGATATAAGAAACAGGTTTTAATAAAAAATAAGCCAAATAAAAATTAGGTTACATAAGAATTGGGTTTAGTAAAATTTACGCCAAATAAGAATTAAGCTGCATAAAAATTAGGTTACATAATAGGTTTAATAAATTATAGGCCAAGTAAGAATTAGGTTCAATAAAAATTAAGCCAAATAAGAATTAGATTAAAGAAAGATTTGTCCAACTAGGTATTAGGTTTAATAAAAATTAAGCGAAATAAGAATTAGGTTTAGTGAAGACTACGCTAAATAAGAATTAAGCTAAATAATAATTAGGTTACACAATAGGTTTAATAAATACTAGGCCAAGTAAGAATTAGGTTTAATAAAAATTAAACCAAATAAGAATTAGGTCACTTAGGAATCAGGTTTAGTAAAATTTACGCCAAATAAAAATTAAGCTGAATAAAAATTAGGTTACATAATAGGTTTAATAAATAGTAGGCCAAGTAAGAATTAGGTTTAATAAAAATTAAGCGAAATAAGAATTAGGTTTAGTAAATATTACGCCAAATAAGAATTAAGCTAAATAAAAATTAGGTTACCTAAGAATCAGGTTTAATAAAAATTACGCCAAATAAAAATTAAGATAAATAAAAATTAGGTTACATAAATAGGTTTAATTAAAAAATAAGCGAAATAAGAATTAGGTTTAGTTAAAAATTACGCCAAATAAGAATTAAGCTAAATAAAAATTAGGCAATGTAATAAACAGGTTTAATAAAAATTAGGCCAACTGAAAAGTAGGTTTAATAAAAATTAAGTCAAACAAGAATTATATTCAATAAAAATTATGCCAAATAAGAATTAGGTTTACTAAAAATTAAGCTAAATAAGAATTAGATTAACGAAAAATTGGGGCAGAAAAAGTTTAGGTTAAATAAAAATTATATTTAATAAATATTAGGCCAAATAAAAAATTAAGTAAAATGCAGATATAATTTGTATTTGTATTTATATTTAACAAATAAACTATTTAAAAAATTTTTATTGTTCTTTTGGCACATGTATATTTTTGTTTTTACAAAATTCGTAAATTTGTTGTGCAATTTACAATCCACTTCAAAATTTAAAATAAAAGCAGTTCACTTTTTCTCCCCTAGTTTTTTATATGACATTTTACAGTTGTTTGTCAAGTTAGAATCTGATGTATTATGATAAGAAAGTAAAGTTGGGTGTACAATGAGAATCGTAATGTCCTTTGAGGACAAAAAAAAAGTACTTGAAGTACAAAGAAAATACCCGAGGTAACGGTAACGTGAGTAAACTTTGAGCATGGTTGGTGGGCGTAACTTTTCCGAGTAAAAAGGGTAACTAAGAGAGAGTGAGAGAGAGAGAGAGAAGAGAGAAGTGAGAAGTGTACTGTGTATATGTGTCTATTCCTTAGGTTGAAGAGTAGTGATCTCAGGTTCTAAAGGACAACACACCTTCGCTTCGTTTCGAATCCTTTTATATGTATACATACGTATCTTTCTACTTTGGTGTACACATAACCTAGTCGGACTTGTTCAAACTCGTTAGGGGTTTTCGCCTTCTGTTTCAGATCGAAAAACTTGTGTGTCGTCTTTTGAAAAACTAATCGCCGAAGTGACACTCTGTGAATTCTTAAAAACATTGATGCTCTGTTACTGTTTGTTTGATTTTTAAAAATTTACAACAAATCTCGATGATTTTGAAAATTGGATTTTTTTTCAATTTGATGCTACTTTCACTGAGAAAAAAAATTTAGTGTTTTCAACAAAATTGTTTAGTTAGGCAATTTTGGTTCTTGTAACCAAATTTTGGTTGGCTGAAACAAAGTTGTAGAGTTATCTCAACCAAACATTTGGTTAGGCCAACAAAATTATTTGAATGAACATTTTTAAATTTCAACCAAAATTTTGGTTACGACAACAAAATAATTTGATTAAAAAAACAAAATAGTTTGGTCTAAAAAATTGAATGAACGTTTGTTGTCCTAATCAAATAATTTGATTCGCTCTCAGCTCATAGCTTAAGAGAACAGTTAGTTTAAATCTCTCACAAGGATGGGAAGTCCAGTGATTAGAGCTCCCGACCATCAGTTTTAAAACGGAGGTTCGATCCTGGGCGGAGATGAGATTTTTCAAAGTCCTCAAATATTTCAATTGGATAAATATAAAATTATAAATTCAATGTTAAATTGATAATAAATAAATAACGAAATAAATAAAAAAGATAAAAAGAAAAGAGATAAGGTAGAATAGAATTTTTAATTTTACAAAAAAAAACTGTTGGTTTGATCAACCAAACATTTTCGTTGACCTAACAAAAAAAATTTGGTTGAGCTAACCAAACATTTTTGGTATGCCAACAAAAAACACTCAACCAAATTTTTTGGTTTACTGATACAAATAGTTTGGTTGGTTAAATACCAACAAACTTCTCTTGTTGGCCCAACCGCAAATTTAGGTTGCTCTGACTAAACATTTTTCTCAGTGTTCTGTGGAATTTTTTGTAAATTACCTAGGAAACGGTTGCTATGGATACGGTTACCTAGGAAACGGTTGCCATGGAAACGGTTGCTATGGACACGGTTGCTATGGATACGGTTACATAGGAAACGGTTGCTATGGTAACCGTTGCTATGGAAATGGTTGCTATGGATACTGTTACCGTGAAAACGGTTGCTATAGATACTGTTGCTATGGATACGGTTACTATGGAAACGGTTGCCATGGTAACTGTTGCTATGGAAACGGTTGCCATGAAAACAGTTGTAATTGTAACAGTTGCTATGGTAACGGTTGCCATGGAAACTATACGAGTGTATGACAGACGGACGGATGGACAGACGCTTGCTATGGTATCTGTTTTCATGTGAATCATACGAAAGTACGACGGACAGACGGACGGACGGTCGCCAAAAAGAAACTATAATGCTTTCAGCCCTGTGACACTTAACCCTAAAAACCAAATTTTGTTTGATAATTTCACTTTTTAAGTTGGAAGTTAAAGTTTATCTAAAGTGATAAATGGATTTAAAATTTATAACACTCAAGGAGATTCAAATTCTACTCCTTTTAGGTTCAAAACTCGATTTACTATTAAATTCCTCAATTTTTTTTTTTTTTTTTTTTTTGACGTGACAATACGTCTTACTCTGATACATATATTAGTACAGCGCTGACAGTATTTTAATTTTTCTTTTTGCAGATTCTATCCTGGATGGTTTATCTTGAAGGATACAAAATTCCCACAGACTTTTTAGAATTCGGTCTATTTTGACGATTACTTTTCACATTTTCCGAATGGAAATTTAACTTGAAAGAGTAGGGATCTCCGAGGGCTATTTAGTTTGAAAAAAATCTTCTTGAAGTTGAAAATTCATTATTAAGGTAAATATTTTAATTTAATTGAAATTTTTTGTTTCTTAAATAGTATACAATGTTTGTAAAGATAGAAAAATTACTATGATAAAGTGAATTGTCAAGAAGAAAAAAAAAAAAGAAAGAACCATGGGTTCAATATTTGCTTGGGCCACTCTCAAAAAGAAGACTTTGGTATAGGGGGGTTGGGTTAAAAAGAAAAGATGAAAGTCTATCAATTCTTGTCTTTCGAAGCTTATGTAACTCCTGCAACCCGACAAAATCATTAACCCTCTCTAACCGAGGGCAGAATATACTTCTTTACAAAGCCCCAAGAATAAAGATGACAGTTCACTATCGAGGGCATTGTCCTGAGATCAAAAGTGTACTATCTATATATATATATATATATATATACATGTTAGAGCTTCATTTTAAAATCTCACAAGAGCGTTTAAAAAAAATTCTATTTGTGAATTCATTCAAAATTGTTTATTCTCTTTGACATATTGTTCAGTTCATCGACAAAATTTTATTTATTTTTTTAAAATGCACTTTTAGGCCAGTTAATTATACTTTTTTTTCCTGTTTTCTATTAACGAAATAATTATTTCATTTCAATAATCGATTATCAAATATAATTATATTTTTTTCATTCGTATAATTTTTATTTGAATTAAACAGTATTTAAAATGAAATTGAATAATGAAGTATTATTTTAATTTTTGATAATTTATGAATGAAGCGTAAAATTAAGATTCGCGACTCTCATTTATCCAAATGATATATAGAATTATGCAATATAAATATACGTGAAAACATTTTATCATTATAATTAATAACTTTATAAATTATTTGTGAAAAAAGAGTATCCGATAATCAGGAATAAATTAATTAATTTACTAATTAATTAGAAAATGATTACAATTTTTTTTTTTTTATTATGGAAATCAATGTTGGAAAATTTTCCCTCTTTTACCACTTCAATGGCATATTTTAATTCTCTATCATATCGATTTTCATCTTAATTTTTTTTTTTAATATTGGAAACTTAATCTGTCACAAGGTAATTATCTTCAAAGAAACGCAGGAGTATCAAAGAAATATTTATTATTCAGTGAAATATTCTTTTATAAATTAAAAGAAATAAATGAATGGAATAAATATAAATTATTGTATATGAAGAATTAATTCTTTTTAAATAATTTTATTTATTTATTTTAAAAAATGGATAATTTAATTGCAAAAAATACGTGGTTTTTTTAAAAACTTTTTTTGTTGATAGTTTAGAAAACTTGGTTACAATATTAGCTGACTGAATTTAAAGAAATATAATATTGGGAATTAAATATTTTTATTTGAACAGTAAAAATCGATTGATTTTGTACTTCTCCTTTTTTTTACAGTTATTTACTCAGATCGGAATATCGGATGATAGGTGAGCGAAAAGGTAGCGTTTCACTTGGCCGAATCGTGTTTCCTGCTGAGTAATTTCAGATAATATAGAAAGAGCGAGAGAGAGAGATAGGAAATCGTATTTCACCCCAATTTCGTTTTTCCTTGACTTGAACTCTGACGAAAATGCACTTTCTATTATCCACATTTTAGTTTTTGTTCTCTACTTCTTTTTACAATATTTTTTTTCGTGAGGGTTTTCTTTTTTTTGGGGATGAAATGAGACCGTTTACTGTTCCCCGAATAATTTTCTGCAATTCTCTCTTTCTGTGTGTGTGTATTTATATACATATATGTTTCATAGAGATTCTACTTACATCACTCCATTGTCCTGTTTCCCACGTAGGACACGAGAATTCATTACAAGTCTCTTGGTATCTCGGTTTATGCGTTGCACTGCATTTGTAGTCTGGAAGCTGTATCAAAGAGAAGAAAATTAACAGGGGAGTCTCAAATATTTTGATACATATAAATTAAACAAAAATTTTTTTCTTTGAGAAAAACTTTCATTTTTAAAAAAAGCATAATTTTCTCTTTAAAAAAAGAATTTTTTTCAAATTCTTCCATTTCAAACGTTCGTTTGATCATTCAGTGAATGTTTGATTTAAACAAATATTTGTCTTCACATATATGTGCTCATTAATTATAATCATGTAATTATTATTTACACGAAATGATTAATAATTTCATACGCTTTTTACGCTGCAAAATTTGTTTTAAAATCGGTATTACTTGACTATTATCAAATATTTCCTTATAATTTTTAATTCAGTCAATATTAAGTTTTCAAATAGAAAAAAATTATTTAAATAAAATTTTCTTTGATTCAACTAAAAATTGAAATACAAATAAAATTTTTTTCACTGGTAAATATTCAAATTTAATTTCCAATTAATTTATTCACCTTTGTTGTTTCGTTACCGATTTCTTCGATACAAAAAACAGCTCTCGATCTCGAACCTCCCCCACAACTTGCACTGCACTTGCCATATTCATTTGTCGTCCATCTGTGATTAAAAGTAAAATATTCAAAAATATAAATAACTTAAGTTTAATAATTACAAAAAAAAGGATAATTATACCAGTATATTTATTTTTTTTTATTTTTGAAGGTATTGTTTTTTAATTGAAAAAATAATTTTGCATTGGAAAGAAATACGAGACTTGAATTTTTTTTTTTTTTTTTATTATTGTTAGACATTTTTAATAATTCGCGAGGCAGTTTCTTCTCAATATAGATTAGCAGCATCACTTTTTTTTTTCTTATAGATACTCGGTGTTATAGCCAGAGGCAGTTACATACCCAGACGGATCTATCGATCGTCTCGTCATTTTATTTTTACCTGTGAAAAACCACTTTTAAGAAAAACCCAACGTCGTTTTCACGGTGTCTCTCTCTTTCTCTTGTAGGAGAAAACTTTTGTCTGTCGGGAACGCATGTTACAGTGTAAAAGAAAGCAAAAGAGAGAAAGAGAAGAGTGGGGGGATAAATTTCAAAGAAAGTCATGTAGCCAGAAAGCTATCATGAGAGTAAAGGTTCTTATCGTATATGAATCATAAAAAAAATAGAGAAAAAAAAAGAATTTTCTTTACGTTTATATCTAGATATAGATCAAAGAGCAGTTAGAGTAAAAAAAAAACAAGGTTTATTTTTCTATTCCTTTGAGGATCTTTTTATTTTTTCGCCACATATATTGTTCTTTTGAGCCAACTGTAAATTTTGATGCAAAAATGAGGGGGAAAAAAATGTCTTGTTTTATCAAAACAAAAGTATACATTAAAATATAATAAAATAAATAGTGTCAAATGTATCAAATTTGAGGAAATTTTTTTTTTATCTATTTTTTATTATAAGAATTTTCTAATTTTTATTATAAAAAATAATATATAATATATATATATATATATTGCTATTATTATCATTATTATTTTTTTTATTGTGTATTATTGAATTAAAAAATTGAAATTATAAAATATTTTATTTTTGTTTCAGTTAGAAAGGGATGAAAAAAATGATTTTCACAAAAGGCAATTTCGCTGATATTCATCAACATGTAAGTAAAAATTTCTAATTAAAAATTTTTTATTTGCATACTCAGAAAAAAATTATTATTTGCAAAGGGTTATTGTAAAAATAATTTTTTTTTTTTTTTGCTATTAGAAACTTTTTTATAATCAAAAAAGAGAAAGAGAAATTAATTTTTTTAAAAAAAGAATTTTTTTTTTTTTTTTGTAACAATTTTCACACACGCGCAAACATGTTGGACTAAATTAATGAAATTATGCAATAAGTTGTTAAATGTGGTGTGACATGGTGAAGTGGAAAAGTACCTGTGGAAATACTTAGTTCCCTTGGGTGGTGCCAACAGTGTGAAACTGAATTAAACTAAATTCCAGAGTAAAGCAATTAGCGTGATTTAACAGGACGAAACACATTTGGCTTTGATTTATTAACAGTACACAGAGTCCAAACAAGTATTATATATAAATTTTTTTCCCCTTTTAAATCTTTATACATATTTATTGTCATTTTAATGAACTATTCACGCAATATATGCAAAACTATTTATTTTTAATTGCGTATATATTTGAAATTGAACTATACTTTTTTTGTTTCTACAAAACGTTTATTAATAAATAAATTATTATTATTTATTAGTAATAATAATAATTGATTGATAATTGTATAATTTTCACTTACAATTCATTAGTAATAGATAAATAATTATTTTTTTTCTACTCACTTTGTTGTACAAGAATGAGTATTGCATGGCATTAGAACCTTTTCCGGTTTTATATTTGGATCGCAATTAGCTTCATCAGTTTCAGTCTCATCAGGTCCAGTTGATTTACATATTGCCCGTGCTATTTTATAACCTGTAATAAAATTTTTAATAATATTCCATTTCTTTTATAATTTACATCTATGTATAGATTTTATACAATTTCCTTTTGATTATTTTCTTTCAAGGAATTCATTTTTTTCCTTTTTCTAATTTAAAAAAAAAAATTGGTAATTTGTTTAATTCAAATAAATAATATTTATTTTATTTAAATAATCGTTTGGTTTGATTGAGTCAAATAAATTTTTTTTTTTTTGGGTAAAGTGTTTAATGATATATAAGGAAAAGATTAATTGTATAATTGAAGAAAGGATTAAGTAGTGTTTAAAATGTGTCTTACCTCCGCCACAAGATTCGGTACAAGCGGAAGCTGGTTCTAGGACCCAACTATATCTTCCGTGACAACTTGATCCATTTCCACCACAAACACCGCATACATCAGTTTTTTTATTGCTTCCTATTCTGAGATCGCATCCAACTTTCTGAAATAAATTAATTTATAAAAAATTAATGAATTTTTTTTTTATTTTTAACACGTCTGCGACCTTCAGCTTATAATTATAGTGAAAAATTTAATAGTCAATATTAAAAAAGATTTACCAAGTTCTAATTAGGGTTTTACGTCATGTCTGACTAAAATTATCATTTAAATTTTCTATTCGATTTTATTTTCGCATTAAATTTTTTCTCTCACTAAAAATTACCATTTTCTTTACTTTTTTTTTTTTTTTTTTTTTTTAATAACCGTTTTTTCCAAATAATAATTATAAAGTTAACATGTTTTATTTCGAGCGGTTTTTTTTCCATATCTATTTTATAATTCATTCACAATTTCTGATTCCGTTCTCATTAATTAATAAATTCTAATTAATTATTTAATTAATAAATTTCCATTTGCGTATATAATTATTTTCATTTATAATTATACAATAATTAATTTATAAACCGTAAAAAATTATTACAAAATGAATTTAATTTATACATACGGCAAAAATTAGTTTTGCAAAAAAGAAAATTTTAATTTTGCTGTTACATTTTTTTTTCATGTAATAATAAATGTTAATTTCTCTTTTTTTTTCGACGATAGTGAAATTGCGAGACGCGACAAGAAGGGAAGAGAGTATATTTTTATTTAATCATGAAAAAAAATTTCGGTGGTTTGAAAGTTGGTATTTGATTAAATGTTCGATTCGGAAAAATTTTATTCTGATGTCGATCGTGACCCGACTTGAATGTAGATCTGATTTGTTATTCAGCTTGCATAGAGGGCTCTTGAGTATAGGGAGTACATTATTCATCTCTTATCCATGACGAGAAAAGTGAACTAAACTGGCTGTGCAAAAGGAACGCGCAGAAAGATTCAAATGATGATGATGGTCCAAAAGATGAGTGGAAAAGATATGTTATTCGCGTTATTTGTTTTTGTGATCCCTATTTCTAAACCCCCCCCCCAAAAAAAAAACAATTGCAATATTTTTGTAATTATAACAGTTAACAATTTATTGCTAAATTTCATTTATTTTTTTTGACAATAGTTTTTTTTTTATAATTTGAGTGGTCACTGACAGAAAATTTTCTTTTGAAATTTCTATTTCTTTCTCTATTTATTTTTCTATTTATTTATTTTTTTGTTTTTATTTTACATTTTTTATTTCTATTTTCAATTTTCTATTACCATTTTCTAAGGGTGATTTTTATGTTCCGGATCCCCTGAAGAAACTTTTTTATTCGATTTTCAAACAAAAATAATGGAATTAAAAAAAAAATTTAGAGGGTCCGAAACATAAAAATCACTCTGTATATTTATTTTCTCCTTGAATTGAACTGAATTTTAATTAAATTACCAAGTATTTATATAATTATTTTGTAAATACTTGGAAAATAGTTAATTTATTTTGGAATTTTATTACCCTTATACCTGTATCCCAAGTTTTATCTTTGAAGTACAAAAGGATATATACAAGATCAAAACAAAGTTGGAGAATATTTAATTAGTTGCAATTCGTGTATTGACCTGTTTAAACGTGATTATAATAGGAGTTTAAATAATTTTAAAAAATTTTTAATTTTATATTTCTTTAATTAGTTTTTATTTATTTTTTCAGATTTCAATCGGGATATAATTTCGGGAGTGTACGACTTTTTTTTCATTTTAGTAAAATGTTTTTTTTTTTTTTTTTTAAATTCCGGGAGTATTTTTAATTTAACACGTGCTTCCGGGAGTGTCCGAAATTCTTAAACTCGCGATCGTTTAAATATTCAAAAAAGGTATTTTTTTTAATGAAGCACGTGTTCGAATTTTTTTTTTTTAATCAAAATAGCTTAAATTTAAAAAATGTATTTTGCTTTTTAATTTAATACGTGCTTCCGGGAGTGTTCGAAATTCTTAAAACCGCGATCTAAATATTCAAAAAAAAGTATTTTTTAATGAAGCACGTGTATTCAAAATTCTTAAAATTGCGATTGTTTAAAAAAAATAGTATTTTGATTTTAGTTTAGCGTACGTGCTATCGGGAGTGTTCGAAATTCTTAAAACCGCGATCGTTTATTTAAAAAATTTTTTTTATAGCACATGCTTTCGGGAGTGTTTGAAATTATAAAAATTGCGAGTGTTTATGGCAGAACTTATCGTCCCGATGATACGTCGATTGCAGTCTAAGGTTAGTGATTTATTTTTTTTTTTATAAATAATTCCTTTTTTTAATTCACATTTTTTTTACTTACATTTAAATCGCAGGAAATTATTTTTTAGAATAGAATAAAAAAAATTGCATTTTAAAATTTCTCGACAGTGGGAAATAGGAAAATTTTTAATAGTCACCCTGAATAATGGTATATAAAATATAAAAATACAAGTCAAAATCAGTTATTGGAAAAAAAAAAAAATTGAAATTATTTGTCCCTGGTTATAATTGGTTCTATCTCCAACGCGATAGTTATATACTGAGTTTACTGATATTGAGTTGGAGGGACATTTCGCGTAAAGGGAAGACGCTATCGTTTCCGAAATTATGTTTGCTTTTGCTAGGAAAACAGTATTGCCGCAGCAAACGGGAGTTGTAATTGGAAAGGCTGATGAAACAATCGGTTATGTTTCCGACAAAGTTATCAAACAAAACTCCTATGAAACTAATAGGAAAACATTTCAAAGGAAGAAATAAATAAAATAATTTCAAATATGAGTTTCTCGAACAATGGTAATTATTGGATTTATTGGCAAATAAAACCACTCGCTATATCCACATATGAACAATACATATAATTAAAAATTTGACCAATAGCAATAAAAATCTAAATTTACATTAAAAAAAATAATTGTATTAATAAAAAAATTAGTACAATAGTTTTTGTTATGTTCCGCGATAATTATATTTAAAATCCAAAAATTATAAACCATTTTTCAAAAAAAAAGTTTAAGATTTTTAAAAATCAGTTCTTTGAAAAACATATATTTGAAAATATTGTTCTTTATATATATATTTTTTTTGGAGAGAATTTTTTTTCATCCCCTTCCCCCTTGCAGAAACAGGTGTCGTGTATCTCAAGAGATTTTTAAAAGATATTGCATCGCGTGTCCTACTTTGACAATTCTTGGTAAAGTTTTGCGAGAGTTTTAGAATTTCTCATCGGATCGTTAACAACTTTTGCAAGTTTCTTGTACACGTTGTATTTTCAGTTTTGAAGGGTCTGTCGAAGTCCAAGATTTTAACTACCAAGTTTGACTTTTCCAGACTTGTTTATCATGAAAAATATTCATGAAACTTTTCACTTGACAAATTTTCTCTATATTATTATTATTATGTACACATCAAAATGAGTCACTTAAGAATATTATACTTCAAAAAAAAATAAATAAATAAATAAATTTCTACAACTGTAATTTTAGTCCCTCAAATATTCAAAAAAGAAATACAAAATTGATTCATGAAAATGGAAATAGTATCTAATTTATTTCCGCAGAGGTTAATAAAAAAAAAAGAAAAAATTGCAGTCCAACTGTCGAATGCAATAAGTTTTATAAAAAGACTTCGCAGCTGAAATAAGGTTCTTGAAGAAAGTAATTACCCGTTGTTTGACTAAAGTTAAAGTCAGTCCATTATTATGCGAAACTAGTTAGCATTTACTGCTGTAGGTTAGAATTTAAAGATCCTGAGTTGGTACACTCGGACTCAAAATTACTCAAGTTCTTCATTTTAATCACAATTTTGTCTTCAAAATGTTTCGAATATTTCAAATATCTTTTTGTGGTAGAATTTATTTGATTTAAATAAAAAAAGTTTTTTACGCCAAATAAATAGGCTGGTAGGCTGTGAGAAAAATATTTATTTAAATTAAATATATTTGGTTCAAATAAAACATTTCTCTGGGTGTAGGGAGTCAGTCATTTTTCGAATTTTTAGTTGTAATACAGTTTCCTTATATTTTCAGAAAAATTTTATTTTATTTTTTTTCTAATAATTGACTCATTTTTATATATGACCAACGATATTGCATGATGACGCTTCTAATTAACCGGTTTGTTTCTCGAGCTCGTAATCACAGTCATTTTCATAAACTTAGCGACCTAGTTTACAATTACTTTTCCTTATTACATACACATTGTCTTCCCTCTTACACCTTAATTACACGATTATGTGAATGTTTATTTATAATGAACGTTTCCTCGAATCGATGCAAAATTCTCATTTGAGCGAGTTCATTTAAAATTATTTATTAATTAATGAAAACATAATTTAGAAGTCTAATTTATGAAAATTAATCGTCAAAGTAGGTAAATTCAAATTTTTGATTTAAATTACCTTACTAATTTTTTGTTAAAAAACTTAATAATAATTTTTGTAACTTACGACACATTCTCCTCCAATGCAAACGTCAAGACTCTCGGGTCGACATCTAGTGCCGTCTTTGACTTTTTCTGCGAGTTGAACGATTATTGTCTCTTCGGAATCAACACTCGTACTATATTCCTCTTCACTTGATTCTGTTCTGCCTGCTAATAATTTTTCATCTTTATTATTATTGGAAACATCGTCCAGCGATTGTTCTCCACGGCATATTAATGAACATAATCTTGTCGAATCATAGTATGGATACCATTTTAATAATTGTCCACCATATGGAACATTATTGAATGCTTCACATTGTTCTGCTCGATAATTTGTTGGAATGTCACAAGGCTGAAACATATTTACAGTAACGAATATAAAAATTATTTTTAAAAAAATTATGAGAAATTTTCAATTAAAACGAAATATTTAAAAAAAGTCATCATTTAAGTATTCAAAAATTTATCAGATAATTCTACTTTAAAAAATGTTATTTTAACTTTTGTGTCAAAAAACTGTCTTGGAAAATTGAGAAAGAGAGTATTATTATCGGCGTTCTCAATTCCCTTGTGAAAATCCACCTCTATTTAAAATTTTCTTGACAAACGCCCTTCCTTGTGGAAGTTTATATGCGATAAGATGAAAGTTTCTAAAACATTCGTAAACGTTGTATTTTACATAACAAGGTCAATCGAAAGCTTGAGTGCGTTTTTACTTTTTTAAGTTTTTACTCAAAAATATTTTGGAAAAATTTTCGAAAAATTAAATTCGAGTGATAACCACTTCGGAATACCGCCAAAAAAATGAGCAAAAAGTCTCGAACACAAAATGTATGGCACACTTTTTGATTGGTCCAGCGGGTACTGAGCTACAATTAAAAAAATTGGGGGAAAAATTTTCTAAAAATTAAATTCGCGAGATAATCGTTTGAGAATACCGCCAATGTGATTAGAAGAAAGTTCTGAACAAAAAATGTATGGCGCACTTTTTGATTGGTCCAGCGGATGCTGAGCTACACTCAAAATCAATTTGGAAAAATTTTCGAAAAATTAAATTCGCGAGATAATGTCTCGGGAATAATGCCAAAAAATTGAGCAAAAAGTCTCGAACAAAAAATGTATGGCGCACTTTTTGATTGGTCAGCGGATGCTGAGCTACATTTAAAAAAATTGGGGGAAAAATTTTCGAAAAATTAAATTCGCGAGATAATTGTTCGAGAATACCGCCAAAGTGATTAGAAGAAAGTTCTGAACAAAAAATGTATGGCTCACTTTTTGATTGGTCTAGCGGATGCTGAGCTACACTCAAAATCAATTTTGAAAAATTTTCGAAAAATTAAATTCGCGAGACAATGTCTCGGGAATAATGCCAAAAAATTGAGCAAAAAGTCTCGAACAAAAAATGTATGGCGCACTTTTTGATTGGTCCAGCGGATGCTGAGCTACAATTAAAAAAATTGGGAGAAAAATTTTCGAAAAATTAAATTCGCGAGATAATGTCTCGGGAATAATGCCAAAAAATTGAGCAAAAAGTCTCGAACAAAAAATGTATGGCGCACTTTTTGATTGGTCCAGCGGATGCTGAGCTACAAATAAAAAAATGGGGGGAAAAATTTTCAAAAAACTAAATTCGCGAGATAATCGTTGGAGAATACCGCCAAAGTGATTAGAAGAAAGTTCTGAACAAAAAATGTATGGCGCACTTTTTGCTTGGTCCAGCGGATGCTGAGCTACACTCAAAATCAATTTGGAAAAATTTTCGAAAAATTAAATTCGCGAGATAATGTCTCGGGAATAATGCCAAAAAATTGAGCAAAAAGTCTCGAACAATAAATGTATGGCACACTTTTTGATTGGTCCAGCGGATGCTGAGCTACAAATAAAAAAATGGGGGGAAAAATTTTCAAAAAACTAAATTCGCGAGATAATCGTTGGAGAATACCGCCAAAGTGATTAGAAGAAAGTTCTGAACAAAAAATGTATGGCGCACTTTTTGCTTGGTCCAGCGGATGCTGAGCTACACTCAAAATCAATTTGGAAAAATTTTCGAAAAATTAAATTCGCGAGATAATGTCTCGGGAATAATGCCAAAAAATTGAGCAAAAAGTCTCGAACAATAAATGTATGGCACACTTTTTGATTGGTCTAGCGGATGCTGAGCTACATTTAAAAAAATTGGGGGAAAAATTTTCGAAAAATTAAATTCGCGAGATAATCGTTCGAGAATACCGCTAAAGTGATTAGAAGAAAGTTCTGAACAAAAAATGTATGGCGCACTTTTTGCTTGGTCCAGCGGATGCTGAGCTACACTCAAAATCAATTTGGAAAAATTTTCGAAAAATTAAATTCGCGAGATAATGTCTCGGGAATACAGGGCCTTAAAATAGTGTTTTTTTGTAGAGTTTTTTTTTAAATTGCAACATATTTATTATGTTAAAAAAAAATTTTTAAATAGTATTGTAACGGAAGAACCCATTTAGAATCGTTTTAAGAAATAAAGAAAGATAGAGAAAGAGAGTTTGAAGTGCCCTTTTCTACGTGACCAGTAAAATCGCCATATTCCTATCTACTCGAGAGGAAGTGACGTCTCTTCGAATATGGGAAAACAGCAGAGCGTACTCCTCGTTATTATGATAACGTGCCCTTTTTATTCTCGCTTTAAGATTTAAGGAATACGTGTTTGAGTAAGATAAGAGTAATATAATAATCGTCACATAAGAAAGCGAGAATACAGCGCACATTACCTGTGAAAAATAACAACTTTTTATTATCAAAAAAATATACTTTTCTTGCTTGCTCGGCTTTCTTTCCTATAAATAAGAAAAATCCTCTTTTTAACAAAGAACCACTTACATTCCTTTTTCAACACAAAAAAAGTAATAATAGTTTTTCAAGAAAATATTTTTGGTTTAATTAATCAAATTAAATTATAACTGAAATTTTTAATTTATTCATAATGTCGTGACCATAACCAACTTGTTCTACTAAGTTTTAAAATTAAAACAGTTTTACGACTGTTTTTTTTAGTTTATTCATTATGTGTGACTAAAACCAAACTTGTACTACTGATATTTTTACCAAGCATTTACTTGCATTACTGATAAAATTACAAACATGTAGAAAGTTTAGCCAAATATTGACTTGTACTACTGACAAAATTACAACATCTGACGAGACAATTACTTCAACTACTTAATGTTTCATACTTATTTTTTTAATTAAAAAAATCATTTTTAATTTTTTCTTGATAAAAAATTGTAAAATTAAATAAAATTAAAGAAAATAAATTATGGAATATTATAAAACAATCGTATTCTGATTTGAGAAATTTTTTTTTTTGTTTAATTATATATCTATATGGATTTTGGGGAAAAAGTTTCTTGGGGAAAATTTACGAGAATGTAATTCCGCAATCGGGAAGGGAAGAAAGATGTCCTTTTCACCTTTCCGGTCACGAATATTCCGTGCACGTTGTGCCTGATAATCCGATCGTAACGGATTACGGTAAAGTTTGTCGTGCACAAGGTATAAACCTGGCATATAGTGCGCGTAATACGTGCTCTCTCTCCCTCTCTCTTTCTTTCTCAACGGAAGTACGTTTATAGGTTGAAAATAAAGTTTTGCCACAATAGTAGGTGGGTGGCAAGTATATTTTTATGTCAACAATTCGTCTCTCTGGCTAACCTTTTGTTCTGACCTCATAACTTTTCCATTTTCACGATCTACCAATTTCCTGGTGACACAATTTTAATCCAAGTTTCCCACACTATATATATATTGAGCGATTTCTCAGTTTCGAATATTTTTTTTGTTTTTGTTTTCTATTCATTGTAAAAGCTGTTTAACGAAATTTTTTTTTTTTATTCATTATTATAAATTTTTTTCTCTTTGTAATATCATTTTGAAATTGAGAAATAATTCGCGAAGAAATTTTTTTTAGAAAGTTATTTCAAAATTAATTACAGAATTAATATTTATTATTAATATTTATTATATCACTTTTTAGTCATTTAGTTTTTTTTTTTGTTTTTTGGATTATTTTGTTATATATTTATTAAATTAATTTGCAATGGTGTAATAAATTTAATAAACATGATGTTTTTTTTTGCAGAACGGAAAATTGGAGCTTTATCGAGGGATTTAGTGAGGGTGAGTCATTATTATTTTTTTATTGGAATTATTATACTAGGGTATACCAAATATTGTTTGATTTTATATTTATATACGGATTGTGCCCATTTATCATTTTTATTCATTTTTTGAATGACTTATTGATATATTTTTTTTATTTATTATTATACTATTATAATATAATTTTTTAATACAATGTAGTTTTCTAAAAAAATATTATAAAATTTTTATAATTTTTATAATTAAAAATTTTAATAAAAAAATACATTGTATTAAAAAATTATTAATTCTTTTCTTTAATTTAAATTAAAACGCGAAAAGTAAGAATGACTTTCTGATTTTATAATGAAAAAAAAAAAAAAAAATGATAATTAAATTTATTATTAAAATAACGATTGCGAGAGAATTAAATTAGGGTTTCAATGCAATATGTATTATTCACAAATTGACATTTAATTTCTGTTAATTAATGATGGAAAGCGATGTGTAAACATTGATTCGCAAATAACAATCAACGGGTCAAACATACCGGGAATAAGTAAAGCAAGTGTAATATTCAAGGTAACTGTATGATCGGCTTTGTTTGCAATAATTACATACTGGCTTTGAAAATTCGTATTGTTATATATTTCCAATTATAACTGTGTGTATAGTGATTAACTTTATGATTTTCCTAATATCAATACAATTTTTTCCCCCTTATAAATATCAATAAAATCAATAATATATTATTAATAAATGGGCATTTTATTTTATTTCATTGTAAAGAATTTAATAATTAAAATTTTTAAAATAATTAATTTTATTTTTAATAATAAAAATTTCTATTGAAATGAAATAAAATGTTTTCTATAATATATATATATATATATATATATATATATATATATATATTGTTCATCCATAGATTATTCTTGGGAGAAAAAATATTTATCTAAAAAATTGTTTCTAAATCTAGAAAAAATTAAATACTTTTTTAATTTATATTTTTTTCTTAACATATTTAATTGAAAAGAACTCGTATTTGAATTAATTAGCATTTTTAATACAATTAAAGTGATAAATTGATTTTTGAATTTTATGGAATATTGAATCCTTTTACGATATATGTTGAGGTAAATTGTTATATAAGGGTCATTGCAATGCATTTAGGTAATAGATTAGGAGGATTAATGTGATTTCGCACATTAATTATTGTACTGTAAAATAATTCAATGGAAA